ATTTACTATAAACTTTAGAAGCACACTCAATCGAGACGAAATGATCCCCAACAAATTCCTCAACTTTTGGTGAAAAAATGAATCCAATAGGATGAATCAATACCGAGTTATGGCGTTGTAACGAAATTCCATTTTATTGAAAATCAGGACGTTGTACTACAGAATACTATATTTTGCAAATTTAGAAATGGAATAAGATGAAACTAACTCAATATATCAAACAACGATAATGAATCAATTGAATAGTGAAAAAATTGTAGAGTTACCTACAATGAGTCCGAAAGAAATTAAATATAAAGAGCGCGTAAGAAATGGGCCGTTATACCTACCTACCCAAATTTCGCTGTATTACGATAATCGCGGTATAATTCCTTGGACTGGTAAAGGGCGATATACTTTTTATTTTATTTTATTTCTAAATGGCGTATGGTTCAGACCAACTAATATTGGTGTCTGAAAAATTCGAAACAATATTTCTACAATGTAAGTCACAACATAAAGTTTTGGAGAATTTAGCAGAAATTAAAATCAATTCCCTTCTCAATTATTCCGAGAATCGATGTTGCAGTTGTTGGTCTTTTGATTTTATCAGCAGAACATTCTCTAAAACCATTTCAAATATTCCGTTGAACAATTATTGCGAAATAAAAAAAAATTAAAAAAGAAAAATCACTAAACTTTCAAGATGAGATATAGTTCAGATTTCGATATTTAGTTTGTGATTAAGATGATGAATATACATTTTTTGTTATTAGTGTATTTCATTTTGTGATATCTATCAATTTTTTTATTTTGTTATGTTCATATGTTATATTCATTTTTATATCTCTCATTGTTGAGATACATATTTTTTCAATTATTTTTGTTAGGTTGTGTTCATAGAACTCCACATATTTTGTTCTTTTTAATTTTGATAGTTTGCAAATATATTCAAATCGAATTTATTTCATAAATTTAACGTTATCATTCAAATATATACTCTTCAGCAGAAAATAATTGATACCGAATAGGCGTTTTTGTGTAATAACACACTCGAGTGATAGGATTTCGAACGTCATCAAAGTGCGTCCTGATCATCTTTAGAGATAAACGCTGCTAAAACCCGTCGAGATAAAGTGGATGTATATCATACCGATTTGTAGGCAATCAAATTTCCTACAAAAAAGTCAGTGACAGCATATATCCACAGTTGATAGGATTAGCATGGGAGGCGTCCGAACTTTTTGAACTATTCTGTAATGAACACCTGAATCATCGTTCTACTTGAATTGAAATATCGGTTTGTTGTTGGCCCTTGGGAATTTCAAAAAAAACTCAGTCAATCTAGATACTATGCGAAATCTTTTCATGGTTGAATCATTTCTGTAAATTGAATATTGGAATTTTGGTAGCTGTTTGAAAAAGGACAATTCTGAATGGCGTCAATTAATTTTGATATACCATATTTCTGAAATTAATGATCGTAAATCAGTGAAATTCGATTCATCTTATGGAAAATTCTTTTCTGTACATATTTGACCTCTTGATATTCTTCGCTAACTGTGACCGTTTTCCCGAGATAAATCAATGAAACGGGAGAGACAATTTCCACTGCCTTGATTTTGTCCCTACTAGTGTGACGTCACGAAAGCGATGCTCCGGCCCTGGTTGTTCCTGTGACACCATATATGTGCTGCACATACAGTACACCGTCGAACAAACCTATAGCTACATTACTACGTACTCTACGACAAAAAAGCATACTAGCAATGTGAGAGAAGGTTTCGAATACACTAGTGTGCTCTAAAGTAGGCAGGACATGTACCGAAACAAAAATATCATGACGATTACTTTTGGGAATAACCAACTTCCAAGAATCTGCTGGGGTCGACAATTCTGAAAACTCCGATTTGACATTTTTCACAGTTGGTCTTAACTCGTTCTCCAACAGGAAAATTTTAATAGATTTTTCAGGACTTCTTCGATCCATCATTCGCTGGTACCATTATTTGTCAGAGAGATTTCATCTCCGAGACCACCTGATTATCAACTTCAACAATATCTACACCATCCACAAAGGGGCATACTGCAAGATAATATATCAGGCATCACATTTTCCTTCCCAGGTCGATGAATCAAATTGAAATTATCTTGTTGGAGACGAATGGCCCAAAGAGCTAGAAGATTACATAGTCAGATCCTTTAAGTTTTGTAGTCACAGAAGGCTACAACAATATAGGTGCAAACTGAATAAGGCCTGAATTTCTTCACATCCCATATAACTGCCAGACATTCTCTTTCAGTTGCGGAGTAATTCCTTTCTTGTCGATTCAGTGACCTACTAATATAGCTGATGACTGTGTCTCTATCGAGGTGAATTTTTGAAATTTCCATGGGAAACTGAATACAAAAATATATCACGCATAGGGATTGTCTACAATGCGTCCGTTAAATTCAGTGCTATAGTAAAGTATAGTGGATAAACTCGTGAAAAACTGAAAGAATAGGTAGCCGTGCGGACAGAGTGTCTTTATTCTAATCCGCATTCGCTTGCCGGTCGTGGGTTCGAGTCCCGTCGACTGCAGACATTTTTCTGATGGCCCAAGAAAATGTTTGGGATCACACGTTAAAAGGTAAGGCCCCCGTCATTCCTTGCTCGCACAAGACTCTCGAAGACTTCTGAGGGTTGCTCGTAAGGGGGCAACCGAATGACGGATAGAACAATTTTAGAACAAAAAAAATTTAAAAAATAGTTTTTTAAAAGAAGGCTCGTAGCTGTCGAATCTAATTTCAATGTGAGCACTCTTTCAAATTTGATTAAAACGTACAGAATGATTCGTACAGGAAATAGTATATTACGTAATATGTGTTGTAAGAAGCATATTACGCACGAATGGAAAGATTGAGACCTTCCATGATATTAGAGAGACAAAATCAGCAGAATCCTGAGAAAACATGATATCAAAACTATTTTCACGGCCAACAACCAAGTTTCAAAATTCCTCTGAACCCCTAAGGACACAATATCAAATAATTCCCAGGGCATATATGGAATACCTTGTTCAGTTTGCCCAAGAACATATATTGGTCAAACAAATAGACGTGTTACCAGCAGAGTTCACGAATATCAACTTGCAGTCCGAAAAGCAGACCCTTCCTCGGCACTCTTCAAACATTACGAAGAAACAGGCTACTCAATAGATTTCGAAAACGCCAAAACAATCGCTACCGAAAGAACTCTGCATACAAGGATAATCCGCGATGCCCTTGAGATAGAGAAGCAACCTAATTGCCTCAATACTCGCGACGACGGCTGCAGGCTTCCTAGCACTTGAAAATCTTTCATTTCCCGCCTTTCCACACCCTGCGCCATAACTAACCACGCACCTAGTCCCGCTTCACTGACCACCGCATCCACTATAAATACCGCTCCACCACTCACACACCCTCAGTTCTCTCGATGGAGTAGGCAGATTGAGACCTTAGAGCGAACAGTGACGAGATCTGGGGAGTGGGCAGACTGAGACCCCGGCGTCAAGTCACATACCTTCCGTGATATTAACTGAGGAGTAGGCAGATTGAGACCTCAGTGGAAAATCACTCCCTATATTTTTATTTCTATGTTTCAGTTCTTGAAAATGGCTCCAAAATCTACAGATTCTAGACGCGGTTCAACCCGAACTCCTAGTTTTCAATTTCTGACAGCGGAAACCTATCCGAACACACACACATATATACAGGGTGGGCCACCAGTAACGCCTCGGTCTCTAGAAGGCTAACCACTTATCTTCTTGGAATTCTTCCTCTCTAGGATAAGTTGCATGTCAACATAGGCTACCATTTGAAATTATTTTGAAACATACAAGATGTCCCCAAAAATCACAAAACACTGAAGTTGAACTTTTTTCAATCGAACACCCTATATATTATTTCATTTTGAGATTCTCCCTGGTGAGCTGATCTCAACAATCCATCATACTTGGGGTCTAGCAGTTAAAATTACTGAGATATAGGGTGTGAGAAATCGAGATTATCCAAGTTCAAGAATTTTTTGTGTCTAAACCATTCATAATTGGGTAAAACGGCTCACATGTCCCTATCTCAACTTCTGATCAACCATCTACTGACATTTAATTGAAACAAATACAGGGTGGTGCAGAATTCAGAATCATGATCACCCGGTTTATGTCCCAATTAAATATCAGTAGATAGTTAATCAAAAGTTGAGATAGGGACATGTGAGCCGTTTTGACCAATTATGAATAGTTTCGACACAAAAAATTATTAAACTTGGAAAATCTCGATTTTTCACACCCTATATATTTCAGTAATTATAACTGCTAGACCCCAAGTATGATGGGTCGTTGAAATCAGCTCATCAGGGAGAATCTCAAAATGAAATAATATATAGGGTGTTCGATAGAAAAAAGTTTAACTTTAGTGTTTTATGGTTTTTGGGGACACCCTGTATGTTTCGAAATGATTTTAAATGGTAGCCTATGTTGACATGCAACTTCCTAGAGAGGAAGAATTCCAAGAAGATATAAGTGGTAAGCCTTCTAGAGACCGAGGCGTTACTGGTGGCCCACCCTGTATATAGGTGTTCCATTAGAAAAAATTTTTTCTTCGTAGATGTAGCACATTCAGATTTAAAATCGAAATGGACATCAGTTTTGTTAAAAAATTATTTATATAGTAATTTAGGAATAAAAGCACTGTAAATTCAAATCGCTCCCAAATTTCAGGCATGCGTAACATGAAGTGCCCCAATATCATAAAATCAGGTTCATATAATGTACTAATAATAATTTCATGCTCGTATCACAAAAGGCACAATTTTTTTATATACTATGCGGCTTCACTACTGTGAATTCAATGAGTTTAAGTTCCCTTCCGCAATTATTTTTTGATTCGATTCCCCATGACTGAAAATTATACGCAACTCAATAAAATATCCACATGTTCATATGGAATAATGTATCCCGACAGCATATAAACAAATGAATGAATAGAAAAAAAAACAGGTATTGAAAAATATATTTAGAAAAAAAAATCACAAAATTACACTTCTGAAGAAGAAAATACATTGTTATTCGATTTCAAAAACTTCAGAAATGATAGGTAAAAAGGAAATCCAGAAAATGGAGTGTTCCATTTAAAAAAAAAATGGTGTTGACGTCATCACATGTAGGTGGTTCACCCTGTATATAAGATTATTGTTTTGAAAAACAGTAAATTAATATCAGAAATCGGTCTGTTTCACGATTTTCAACAGTATTGTTTATTTAGATAATATAATGGATTTTTGCTTCACTTCATGGAAGCACTGTATAATAACTATTATAGGATCTGATTTGAGACACACATGTTGACTGTTTATGCATATATGCATGAATATCATACTTCATAGGTACTCAATTCTTCTGTGTTTGCAACTTATAGTAAAGACCTTTTTTCTCTAAAAGATTTTGATGAGTTCCAGCCTCAGCGACTATTCCTCGATCTATCACACAGATCATGTCGGCATCTTGAATGGTTGATAGTCGATGGGCAATCGTTATGCAAGTCCTACCCTTTCTAGCACGGTCTAGTGCTTCTTGAACAATCTGAAACGTAATATATGAATGACCTGTGATTTTCTCTCTTTGAAAATTGAGGTTTTCTGATGGAAAACGCCGAAAGTTAAAACTCTTGAAAAGTGGATGAAATATTCTAGAAAATCATTTGCATCGATGTGAACTGTGAAGGGTTATTTTCTGATAAAAAGGTACCTCCTTCACTACATTTTGGCATAAAATTGGTTGTGATGACGTAGCCTATAGTATCAAGAGGGCACCATCAACTTTTTTTTCAAATGTCACGTAGTTCCTGTATTTGAAGGCCTTTCGACTATCTCGCTTCGTTTGTGAAAATCGGTCGAACCATTTCAAACTCACAAGCGTTTGAAAGGACCCCGCACTTTTTCTATATAAAAATGGCGTTCCGTCGAATTTCCCCAATTTTTGGTAAATGATAGTACTCGACATACTGATTGAATATGCCAAGTCCCAACTCAATCCTATGACTAGTTTACGAGATACAGGGTGTTGAAGTTGAAGAATACCTAATTTTTCTCGGCCTATATCTCTAAGATAGGACAAATGAATTCCAATTTTTCGGGAGCACGTAATAGTTATGCCCTTAGGCGCAAGAACTATATAGGTATTCGACCAAAACTGATTTTTATTACAGGGTGATTCTCATTTCAAATAATGTGTTTTTTTGAATATCTGAATATCAATGCTACAAATTGATAACAATTACAAAATGAGATTTATAGCCAAGTATGCTCTTCTTACATCAATTGATTTCGTAAAATATAATAATTATACATGGTGTTTCATTAATGCTGTTGATTGCATAATTGGTCTATCCTAAAGTTCATTGGGCCACCTCGTATTATCGGGTTGATTCCAGACATTCAAAATATTTTTGAAGGATGTATCCCAATGAGTTCCATGATATACAGAGTGATTCATCGATTGAAAAAATTGACAACCACGAAAAAATATTCAAAAACCACTATTTTTTTCATCACCCTCTAATTCGAAATTATTACCGTCGATGTAAGATTTTTTTTCACCAATATACTCAGTATGGATATTTCAATCAAATTGGGAATTTTCAGACCCATGCTATGACTAGTTTTTTTTATACATCGAATAATGTGAAAATAATTATGGAAAAGTAATTACATAATAACACGAAAAATTGCTCCGAATCGCAAAACTAGTAGTCACTAGTCAACTATGTCAAAAAATGTGATTTGTTCGTAAACAAAATCTAGTGGTCTTATTATAGGTCCGCTAGCAAAACATCTCGAAAATGTTTTTCAGAAAACATCAAACAAATCACAATATGCCCCCGAAAAAATCTCATCAACGACACAACTATTCTACGCACCCCTTTCATCAACTTTCAACTCATCAACGATCCCACTCATAAACGTGCTAAAACTCATGAGCGTTCGAAGTCGACAGCGGTTTTTCCCAACTCAATCCTATGACTACTTTTCGAAAAAAGTATGAAACTAAACTTCCGCAAACGCCTAGTAAGAGGTGCGCGTTAATATATTTTGCAACTCTCCTATATCCAACCAACTTCCAATCTTTTGACCATACTGTATATTGTTAGAATCGAAGTTAGTATATGCACATCGCAAAGACACTAAAGTTGGAGTTTTGGTTATGTAGATATTCGTTACCGGGTTCAGTATAGGCCTGAAAGAAAAATGTCAATTAAGAATTTCAATCACAGATTTTGAAAAAATAGACAAACCAACTCGTTTCCCCACCACCTGAGAGGTAGAGTTTCAGGCGCGTTTTTTTTATTGTGGTATCCCCTGTAGGCCTAGTCCACGTTAGAAAGTGAAAGTTCCAATACCTATAATATGATTGTGTGTAGGCAGGATTGGCGCAGTGGACGAGCACCCGAGTCAGGACTGCGGGGTCGTGGGTTCGATTCCCAGACAGCGCAAGGAATTTTTCGAATATTAATATACGAATTAAATATTGTGAAGTTTCGGAGCATCGGCTGGGGATAGTCCTGCACGATTCACTGTTGCGTGCCTACATACAATATAGATACATGTTCAGAACACTATGGGCTAAAGGACCTCATTAGGGATCGATGGTTGGTTGGTATGTACATACCTAGCAACGAAGGACATATACTACTACTACTACTATAATTATGTTTCACAAGGAACACAGAAATCAACTAATCGCCAGATTCAAATCAGTTCCGGACCGATGTTCATATTTTCAGGATTCAATCGATTTGCAGCATCGTCGATACAATTCAAAAGGCGATCAGATGGAAAGGTAATATTTCCTTGGTTTCTTGCGTATCCAAGGAACCATACCACACTGGCTACGTGTGCACACGTCCCTAATGTTCTAGCACCGGACCTACAAGTACAGTAGTACCCTAAAATGGGCGGATCTTGTAAATTATTATCATCGATTTCTCTGAATACTAACCACAGCATATGTTTAGTGGCATTTCTGAACCGAGAAAATACTCGAAATCTTAAAAAATTGGGTTCCTCAATGAGTTCGTCAATATCGAGTGTATTTTGTTCCCCTCCATCTCTTTGTATCGTGTCTTGTATGTAGGAGGCAGCTAAGTGAATGTGATATGACCCTGTGAGTGTTTTCAAATATTCTAAGTCAAGTCGAGGAAACGTCGGTACATGTCTATGGTTCAAACGAAACCATCGACCATTTCTTGTACGGAGGTTTTCAGCCTCAACTCGGGCCTGAACAATGTTGACTTCTTCGATATCATGCAACATTTGTGTAGCTAATTCCAATGTGCCCAACATCCTTATTGGAGGATGGTATTTGTTTATTAGGCCGCCAGCAATCAAATAGAATTCGCGTAATTTTGCAACATGTGTTATTGATATCGCTCCTCGGAAAAATTTGAAAATCGATTTGAAATGCCCATTTCTAGCCTCTACAATCCATCTGGTGCTAGTAATTAAGCGTGCCCTATTAGTTTCGATTGTTGTGAGTTGTCTTTGGTTTGGTGGTAGAAATGGTGGCATATGGTAATGGAGACCAAGATCCTGTAAAAGACCAATAGAGTCCCTATAACCCCTATCGACTATCACTACATCGCCTTCTTGAAACCATGTCCTCATTCTATTTATATCATTCTGTAGCTCATGCTGCAGAATGGTGGCATCATTATTTCTAGCATCAGAAAAGTATGGACCATTAATTGCCAAGATGTAGCCATCAGGAGCGACCATAATTTCAGGCTTAACCAGGTGCTCATTTTTATGGAAGCAGTAGGATTGTCTCAATATCCGGAAATTACTACTTTTTTCTATTTTGTTATATGTACAGTCTATATACACAATTGCTTTTGGGATATTGGGAGAAGGGTTGTATAGCTGATTGGTGTATACAGACACGTGTCTATTAATATAATCGTCTCTTGTAATAGAGTCGAAACCAATATTATTAGTTACAAATCTTTGCATTAGAGATATCCTCACATTCGATATTATCAAGCTAGTTGTTTGTCTTGAAGAAAAATGAAACAAGATTTTCAAAAACTCATCTGAAACTCCATGTTTCATTTTGATTAGAAATGTCAGTAAATGTTTCTTTTTGATATGCCTTCTATTTCCCCCTTGCTCGATTGTATCACAAAATCCATAAAGTTCTTGAAAATCTTCTTTTGAAATCGACGTCAGAGCTTTGAACTCTTCTTCTGTAAAACTATCAATATCATCCCAGTTTCTAATACGTCTATTTTCATTGGCAACTGTTCTCATACACTGTAGAAATTGAAGCATATTTGATATCAAATAGGGTTTGTTGATAAAATTCAAACCTCCATGCAAATTATTCAAGAGAAATCCATGAGGGTCAAGATGATGACCACAAATTCTCAGAAAGTCCGGAACATAAATATTCGTTACAACAAAAATGTTCACCCTACATGCAAGAGTTATTCTCTGAACATGTTGACGAGCATTACAGATTATGCAGGCACGGCTCATTACTGGACTCAATACATTTAGGCGAAGACAGTTTGGGTTATTTTCCATCTCATTGATATCAATTATTACACTGTTATGACAATTGAAACAAACTCTGGTATCATCAAAAATGTCAATTGGAGGATTTCCAGCAGCTTGTCTTCTAAATGTTGCAATTTGCAGAAAATCAACATTATCTTCACGATTTATACGAATTGTGAGTCTAGGAATGAAATTCCCTTCGCATACATAACATCTTACCCTATTTGCAAATGCCATAATGCGCACTAAATTCACTAAACAATTACTGAAAACGACTTAAAAAACACTCAGAATAAAGATATACGCTGATATGATATTTTAAGATACTGACAACCCGAAAGTTGCTGGATGACAGACACATTTATTGATATCATGATTTTGTTTTCTAAGCCTACTGAAAAATATTCTATCTGGTTGCGATAATCCAAATTCGACTTCTACGAAGTAAAACATACTTATTAATTCGTGACAACCCAAGTTTCTAGACTAATTCGACCCCGCCGATTCCGAAAATATCAGTTGTCAACTTGAATTGGGACTAGAACTTACCCTAAAATATAATTTTATAGTTATTTGAGGATGTCTATCGATCTATTACGGTATGTATATCTTACGATATACATTACCTAATGCCACTATTTCTTCCAACAAATAGATGTTGTTGGAAAACGAGTTGGTTCATGTATTTTTTCAAAATCTATGATTGCAATTCTGAATTGATATTGAGTGGAAGAAAGAGGCTTCGAGATTGTTTCATTATTATTTTACTATATTTTTGATGTGTTGGATAAATGATGATTCCTCGGTACCTACTGATGTTCCTGTATTCCATTTTTCTTTCAAGTCTATACTGAACCCGGTAACGAATATCTACATAACCAAAACTCCAACTTTAGTGTCTTTCCGATGTGCATATACTAACTTCGATTCTAACAATATACAGTATGATCAAAAGATTGGAAATTGGTTGGATAAAGGAGAGTTGCAAAATATATTAACGCGCACCTCTCACTAGGCGTTTGCGGAAGTTTAGTTTCATATTTTTTTCGAAAAGTATAGTCATAGGATTGAGTTGGGAAAAACCGCTGTCGACTTGGAACGCTCATGAGTTTTAGCACGTTTATATGAGTGGGATCGTTGATGAGTTGTGTCGTTGATGAGATTTTTTCGGGGGCATATTGTGATTTGTTTGATGTTTTCTGAAAAACATTTTCGAGATGTTTTGCTAGCGGACCTATAATAAGACCACTAGATTTTGTTTACGAACAAATCACATTATTTGACATAGTTGACTAGTGACTACTAGTTTTGCGATTCGGAGCAATTTTTCGTGTTATTATGTAATTACTTTTCCATAATTATTTTCACATTATTCGATGTATAAAAAAAACTAGTCATAGCATGGGTCTGAAAATTCCCAATTTGATTGAAATATCCATACTGAGTATATTGGTGGAAAAAAATCTTACATCGACGGTAATAATTTCGAATTAGAGGGTGATGAAAAAAATAGTGGTTTTTGAATATTTTTTCGTGGTTGTCAATTTTTTCAATCGATGAATCACTCTGTATATCATGGAACTCATTGGGATACATCCTTCAAAAATATTTTGAATGTCTGGAATCAACCCGATAATACGAGGTGGCCCAATGAACTTTAGGATAGACCAATTATGCAATCAACAGCATTAATGAAACACCATGTATAATTATTATATTTTACGAATTCAATTGATGTAAGAAGAGCATACTTGGCTATAAATCTCATTTTGTAATTGTTATCAATTTGTAGCATTGATATTCAGATATTCAAAAAAACACATTATTTGAAATGAGAATCACCCTGTAATAAAAATCAGTTTTGGTCGAATACCTATATAGTTCTTGCGCCTAAGGGCATAACTATTACGTGCTCCCGAAAAATTGGAATTCATTTGTCCTATCTTAGAGATATAGGCCGAGAAAAATTAGGTATTCTTCAACTTCAACACCCTGTATCTCGTAAACTAGTCATAGGATTGAGTTGGGACTTGGCATATTCAATCAGTATGTCGAGTACTATCATTTACCAAAAATTGGGGAAATTCGACGGAACGCCATTTTTATATAGAAAAAGTGCGGGGTCCTTTGCTTCAAATAATAATATCAACAAATCAGATACCTGAGACTTTCAATTGCAACAAAAGTTTGAGTAACAATTTTATTGTATAAAAAGCACGAATATTTCGTAATAATGTTCATCGTTCTCTTATTGACACGAAAATATCGGTGTTGCAATTAAATCCGAACGTTATTGACTGTTGCCGAGGAAAACTTCGAACGCTTGTCGATTGGAAACGTCTTAGCCGAGTTGCACAAATACAGCTGTGAATTGGAAGGCATTTGAAATGAGGTACCTACCACGTGACCACCACGTGACCCCTTATTACATTCGAATTAAAAAAGTCAACGTGACCACAACCATTTTCATGTCTAAATGTGGGGAAAGAGGTACCTCTTTACCTGAATTTTACTCGACCTTTTTAGCTTGTTTCGTTCAATGGATGAAGGAGGGGGAGGACTTTTTACGTCCCCACTGTATATATGCCATGCCAAACTGATCAAAACTGAATGAATAATATATACCTACCTATTATGAGTGATGTCTCTTTTAACTAGAAACGAGCTCTCAAGTTTGAAAGTTATATACATATATTATGGTGTTGTCAAACGCGATGTCCCTTAACAGGAAGTAGAACTAGTACATTGAAAATATGACATTTCACAAAAATCACCTCTATTATGAGAACGGCAATAAAACGAATATATTGATACTTTTGAATTTACGGAAATGTCAATATGGTCCTAGCTTGTGGAACTGGCGTAGAAAGTAGAATCAATCAGGAGTGAAGTGTTCATATTCAACTGTTTTCCACAATCTGCTGTGTGTTTTATAAAAACGACACATGTTTACATCAGCAATAACAATGAACATAAGACTTATAACAAATAGAAGACATATGTGGAACTGCTGATGGTCACTTAGTAGATAATTATATACCAAGGTACAGAAGATATTTTGCTTAGTCGAGCTGTCAGCTGTAGGATAATAAGGAAGCGAAACAAACATAGAAGCATGTTTATCATGTTCTTTAATTATTTCCATTTTTCTCTATAAGTAGTTAAAGTCGTCAATGGAAGTCGTTGAGTGACATTTCACATGAGTATCAAATTCAGAGTTTTCCAAGGATATATGAATTTACTATTGTTCAGGTCGAAAATTATGTAGGTGTGTTCTAGATGAGGTTGTAATAAAAAAGAGATTTTATTATCACTTCGTGTATTGATATAACAACGTAATTGGCGATCATGGTTATATAGACCTTATGTAAACCTGCTTTGAAGAAGCACAATGTAGGTACTTCGATATTTAAATGACCTATGAAATACAGCGAGTGGAGCTTCTCTCCTCTCTCAAGAGTCCCAAGGGCTCTGATCGATTCAAGAAACACTAGAGGGATTAGTACCTTTGTTATTTATTTCCTTGGAAATTAGGAAGTATCTAACTCAGCAACGATTCACTGTAGTGGAACTAATCAAAGGATACTCTTGAAGTGCAAGAATTAGGAAGAAACTTTTGGAAAATGAATAACTTCTACTTGATATTGAGTGGAAGTAAGTTAATGAAAGATTTGAATATACTATGGTCAGTTTACTTCCCGTTATTTGAATAAATCTATAACTCAGCTTTCCGAAAGTGAATATCTCGTTTGAAATTTCATATACCTGCTATCACGTGACCGAGAACTGAATCTTCATCAAGGTTCACCGTAAATATAAACTAGTGAAGGTAGAAAAAACAAATAGGTGGGTACCTTTTCACTTTCCGTATCCAATGCTGAGGTAGCCTCATCCAGTAACAATACTTTCGGATTTCTCACTAAAGCTCTGGCAATCGCAATTCGTTGTTTCTGGCCGCCAGATAGCTGTACCGCTTTTTCACCTAGCGTTGTTTCGTAACCCTGAAAGTGAGCATTTTTTTATTAGCATTATTAGTAACCCTTTGTTCACCAGGTGGAAGTACGAGTCTTCATCAGAAATTTTTTTAAAACAATATCGAAATTAGTTCTCTCCTTGCAAAAACTCCAGTAGTACGTTAGTAAATGAGCTATGCCGGATCTTTTGGACCCCTTTTCCCATGTAAATCTCCATATTTCAGTAATCTACTAAATGTAATATGTTAATCATGAGACACCCTGTATATTTTTTTTCGGCGAGGTTTTTTGATCCACCCTGTATATCATACTTCATCTTGTTATTGTAATTGTGTTATTTCCATTCTTGCTCGACGCTGCCGGATGACCTTGAAAGAGTAAAAAATCTGCAGAATGAACCTTAACTTTCTCTTATGGAGATTTAGATGGGAAAAGGGGTCGAAAAGATCCCGTATCGGCATAGCTCATTTACTGACGTTCAATTATCGTATCATATTATGCTTTTCGGGTACTGACGAAACTTGTTTTTGAAGAATTGACCCATTTTTAGAGTGTACAGCACTATTTGGACACTGTGTGCTGTGAGACCTATAATATGTAGTGGATACTGCTGTTGACTTGACCACACATTCTTTCTGAAATTGTGAGCGACAAATTGAAAAAAGTGAGAAAACGCTGTTTTTTGTGAATATTCTGAAACACACTGGGAACATTAGTTGGATAATTCCAGATTCGGATTCAGCACGCCAAAAAACATAGAAAACGATGATGAAATTGACTACTGGCTGCTCTCAACATGAAACTACCAATTGTCTGTATTAATAGGATAAAAAAGCGATGTCAAATTTATTATTGCTTTATATATTATTGCTTTGTGTGAATCAGTCTGGTTACAGAATTGGAAAGTCTAGTATTTCGGCGGTCTGTGAGCTCTCATCTCTTCATATTTGAAAAATAGGACTCATTATGTTGAGTGTGACAATCAATGCTCTGATGTTCATACTGTGCAATATGATGTACACCAGGGCTCTGTACTTGGACCCTTGTTCTTCATAGTTCATTTCAACGATCTACCGATCAATCTTGACCAAAATGTGGAACCAGTTTTTTATGCTGATGATGCAACATACATATCCACTGGGAAAACATGTCAAGAAACAATCGTTAACCTAGCGAACAGTCTGAAGTCATCTCCAAACACTGATTTCGCACCAAAGACTAGGGAGGAAAATAACATTTATTTATACTATTTCGAGTCCTATAGGACTTTCAGCTGCTTATTGCTAGTTCACTTCATGCGTACATCATCTTCAATCCTGAATGTTGTGTGAATTGTTTATTATATTCAATGATGGAAAATCGTTTAATAAATGACGATTAGTCGGAACCCTACTGGTCTTGAACTACCCATCATATTATACAACACCGTTCAGTCCGTCAAAATTGGCTGGCCCTAGTCCCGATTGCAGATCTAACGTCTAATTTGTTTTATAAAAATCAAGTGAAAGTACAACTATAATGAGAAGGAGAATGGGCTTTACCGCAGTTGGCCTCTCCTGCTCCTCGTAACAGCTGAAATACCTATAATTGGTTTATAATGACTGTTTGGTGATGAGTTTGATGTAGACGGAATTACAAAGAATCCCCAGCTTAGGCCCTATTTTTGTATAACTTTCATGGACTACTTTTCCTTTCATTTGTTGCTTATAATTCAGTGATAATACCTTGGGTAGGCCACTGATGAATGTATGAATATTAGCATCCTTGGCAGCCTGTATGACCTCATCCATCGGAACCAGCCGAGAATTGTCCCCATACGATATGTTTTCCCTGATCGTCTTGTTGAAAAGATTGGGTTCCTGAGACACAATTCCCAGATGCGATCTCAGCGAGCTCAGCTTCAGGCTCTTGACATTGTTCTTGTCCAGCGTCACTTCGCCTTCTACGGGATCGTAAAATCTCTCAATCAGCTGTATGAGCGTCGACTTTCCACATCCACTGTGCCCTACGAGGGCCACCGTCTTCCCTTGGGAAATGTTCAGCATCAGGTCTTGGATGACAGTTATGCCTCGTCTAGTTGGATATGAAAATTTGATTTTCCAGAAGCCAATTTCACCACTTACCTGCAAAAGTAATCAAAACCTTTGACAAACCTTTATACGGGATAAGTGCGGCTATATCATATCATTTATAAAAATTGTTAACTTTGAAACAATATATCTAGATGGAGAGTGGATATTTAATTGTTGAATCTTTCTGAAGTCTATTCGCACATATATTATGTTGATCATTGACCCAACGTTTTACCAAACTTTAACATATGGAGCACACGATATAATACTGATTGATTCTTCAATGCTGTCATTCTAATGTAACCCTGCCCTTTTGCCTTTTGTAGTGTTTTTTTCAACTTCGACACAATGTTATTGATACACTCTGTCCATAAAGTTACCTCCAAGGTCAAGTTTTGAAGATCTATTATTTTTTTTATTTTATCTTGCTCTCAAGTGTAGTTCAAGTGCGCTATTTGAATTTACATGACGACAACATTTTAGACAAAAAAATGATAATAATAATAATAGATCGTATTTTTTCATTATTCGCAGAAAAAAAAATTGCAAAAAACAATAATCAAACAAAGATATTTTGCCAAACCTTATACCTATCTGCAATGGTGGATAGGTGAATAGGCAAAGATCAAAAAAAGCTGTTTTTCAACTCAACCCCATTTTTCAACTATACCCCATATATTCAGCTTGAACAAATTGTTGGATGTTACAATGTTTGAAATCTCATACCAGGATCCTTTTGACTACATGGCGTAATTAACATAATGATAATAATAATATTGTTGATAGTAATAATTTTTTTTTGATGTATGACATATTGATATTCATCATACGGGGCGTGAAAAGATATTCTAAATTGAGAAAACCTAATCACGAATCTGTGATTGAAGGTCGTCTATAAAAATAACAAGTTTCCATCAATCAAGTTTGAAACTCTTGTTGGAGAAAGCATTGAAAATGAATATTATCAGATAAATTATGTTCACTGATTTTTCAATTATTTTCACATGTTCAAGTACTATGGTATAAATCCGTCCACCATTCTGACCTATGTATTGAGCAATTACAATCAGAGAAAGAGACTTATAAACACCTGATTCCTGAAGTGGGTAATAATTTTATCTTTGGTGTTGACCAAAGTGCGTACGATGGAGTCCATGGTATGGTATGAAATATAGATGTCTACACCAAAACGTTGAAAAATGTGTCTGATATCATCTCAATGTTTCGATTATCAAACGTTGTGGAGATGATTTTGTATGTTCTAACCATTTCATCACTACAAACCACTTAGAGAAGAGTATGGACTACTACATAAGATCAAATTTCAGTATAATCTAATGCCATGTTCTCCGCTAACGACTAATGTATCATCCACCATGAGACAAGCTTCAACAATTATGAGGTATAATTAACCTGATGTTCTTTTTGGAAATAGGTAAAACCCTATTTTTCTGAGGAGGCCAAACCGATTGTGGTACGCCCTTATTAAATATTTCGAGCACTCTCAAGACCAGACAATCTCAATATAGCATTTTTCTTACTTCGTTCAAATTTCGTGACTGTTTATCGTCTCCTATTTTAGGTATCCTCTCTAGGAACTTTTGTACGCTTTTTGCAGCTGCCACTCCTTTCGTAAAGTTCGGCGTGAAAGCAAGAGAGTTGGCTATGGAAGCAGTTCCCATGATGAGTGCCTGAGCAACCCTGGAAAAAGTCATTGAATAGTTACACGAATATCCCAGCAAACAAAAAATTTACCTCAATCTTAAAATAAAAAATGAACTCTTAAAACAAACTGACCAGATAAAATATCTTGGTATTTGGTTTGATCACAGGTTGAAGTGGGACAAACATATTGATGTTCTAACAAAAAAAAATATCCCCAATTATTGGTGCATTGAGAAGATGTCCCAAACTTGATATTAAAATTGCAAACATGATTCTCTACTCTCATTTACTGAGTCGTATCAACTATTTCATGAATGTTTGGAGATCTTGTTCAAAAAATAATTTCAATAAAATATCAACATTATATAGAAAATCGTTAAAAGTATTGTATCGTCTCCCATTTGATACACCAACCAATCAATTGTATGAAATAACAAATACGTATTCTTTAGATGAAATATATAGAATTGAAACTCTTAAAATATCATATAATATCATAAATAAAAAATTTAGGTCGAATATTACTTTGATACGGATTTCTGAAATTCATGATCATGAAACTAGACAATATAACTTATTTCATCTTGACGCCGCTAGCTCCATAATCGGGCAAAAAAGATTTACTCATTCGGCCTTAACTGAATTCAATAAACTACCTGTTAATATAAAAAATTGCAGAAATATAGGTACATTCAAAAATGAAGTGAAAAAACTGATTATTTCTGAGCGAACTGGATAAAATTAATCATGCCATTTTTTTTACAAATATTATTCTTTGTTTGCCAATTTACAGTTGTTGATGTATTTTGAATGATGCTATGTTTACCTATAGGTATATAATTATGTACTTCCTTATACCAGAGCCTATTCTGTCTGGAAGTTATTTGTTCAATAAATAAATGAATAAAATGAATAAAACACGAGATAGCTAGCGATTCAATGGCCCATTCATTTTATCGATGGCATACTACTGGCGTCGGTCATTGCTGTTCCTTTTATACAGGGTGAGTCATGACTCACCAGCCATAGCCTAATTTTAGATAGAGGAAGTCAAGGTGAGTTGATATAAACTGCTCAACACATGAAACGTAAAATCGCATTTTTTCGATCAAATTTGAATCATCATAACTTTCGATTTCCTCCACCGATTTTCAATTATTTTTCAGTTCCTGAAAGCTCGTTTTCTTCGTTGAAAAATATTAGGATCTACAGACGAATCTTTTTCGAAAATTATAATGTTTTGTAATTCTTTCCAAAAACCAAGTCCGGTCCTGATTCTTCTTCAATAATACTTTTCTCAACCCTGCTGCTATATAAATATTAAAAAAAAACTGATTCGAATACTGTTAGTCGCATGTAGAGAGTAATGGCCCGGACAAAATCGAAGAAATATTCGTCTGAATTTTGTTTTATATTTTTTCACCAATCCGGTCGTATTATCTTATTTTCATATTTACAGGAACAAAAAAGTATAAAAGTAATAAGTACCTCTTCAGGAATAACCGAAACATTTCGAAATTGGATGTTTCGTTTAGAAAGTTGAAACGGAAATAAATATATTGAATCATACATACTTGAATACTTTCTCGTAAGCTAGACCCTCATTCTTTATTAGAGAGCCTCCGTAAAACATAGCTGCAGAGTAAGCGAAAAACATTATACCCCTCGACAAACCAAAAACTACTCCACGCCATTGAATTGTACGATTAGAATATTTGTAGTACGGAAGAAGTTCTGATATATAGATATGATGGAACTTCTCTTCTAAACCCAAAGATGCGACTGTTCGTATATTGCCAACTCCTTCTACTGCAATCTGAAATGTAATGAAGATGATAGATAGATGAAGATACAGCATATAACACGTTTTTTGTTTCTAGTCGTATTGACCAGACATTTTGTTGTAGGTATAACTATTATAGTATCAACACTCACCGGCAAAAAAACCGCGGCCACCAAAAAAATTGCCAGAATTGTTCACCCTGTAACTTTTTTAATCCTTGCCCGATTTTTGTGAAATTTCGATCACATCGTAGATTTATATTCCGGAATGTTAGCCTGAATATTAGTTCAAGTGAAAAGCTGTTTACTTGATCTTTATACAAGGAAAAATCAAATTTACTATTTCACCCTTTATTTCTTAACGCCCTGTGGCAAAATTGAGGGGTTGAACTTGGTTTCATTATGCTTCGGATTGAAGTGTGATCATTCCTCAACACAATTGTTTTTGAATCACGTCAATATATTATTTTCAAGAAAAGCTACAAATGTTTAAGGAAAGTATGGCATTTTACAAATTTCATTAACACTCATATTAACAATAATCAGAACTTAGCACTTACAGAAAAAAATCTCAATTACAGAAAGCAATATAGTCAATAACGAGCCTCTAACGAGGTTTTCAACCGCCGTGGCATCACAGGTGGCATCGAGTTGATCAAATTTAAAGTAGTCTTGAAGAATTGCCTAAAAATCTCCTTGAAGGGCGAATCGTAGCTCTTGAAGAGTCTCTGACATGGCCGAACTAAGGCGAATGAATCTCTGGAGTTCATCCCCAAGATGCTCTGTAAGTTCTAAATTATTGTTGATGGAAATTTAAAAAAATCTATACTTCCTTAAAAGACTTGTATCTTCTTTTAAAAAGAAGATATTGACTTGAATCTCGAACCATTAGGATCACACTTCAATTCAAAACATGATAATGCAGAAGGTTGGAGAATGGTTCTGAATTATTGGTAATAAAAATAAAAAACCATACTTTCTTAAAACACTCGTATCTTTTCTTAAAAAGTGGTTATCGACGAGAATCGAAAACCATTGTGTTAAGAAGGGATCACACTCCAATCCAAAATGGAAGCTCAGTTTAACCACTCACCTTTGCCACAGGACGTTAAGAAACTAAGGGTGAAAGAGTCACTTTTGTTTTTCCCTGTATAATGATCGAGTCATCAGCTTCTCTTAGTACCATATCCAGGATGACATTCCGAAACATGTTTATAGGATTTGGTCGAAATTACACCGAAATCGGACAAGAATTAAAAAAGTTACAGCGCGAACAATTTGACAAAATTTTTTGGTAGCCGTTTTTTTTGCCGGTGAGTGTAGATGCATACGTATTGATGAATAAAATGTTAGTACTGATATTACCTTGGTGGATTTCTGGAGTGCCTGGCCTCGAGTATCATTCTGCCCAGAAGAATTTCTCTTCTCGAAGAAGAGGGCTATCAGAAGAAACGGCATGAAAGCCACCGTGACAAATCCTAATCTGTATTCATAATACATGGCCAAACCAACGCCGAGAGCGAAAGTTGCGATCGACTGTAAAACAACGCCAATCCTTTGTCCTGTTGCCTAGAAGGAGAAAAATATGAATTGGAAGGGCATTCAATTCCAAGAAACCTTTGAGGTTCTTAAAAACGAAATGTTCGGCTAATCTAATAGGTTCTTCAAGTGAAATACTGGTGAAAATTTCATACCAAACATTTTCGATCAATTGAAAGCCTGTATTTCGTATCGTTACCATAGCAACTAAACAAATTTCTTGAAAATTTTTTCCTCCTCCTTGGGGGACGGAGCATGAAATTACACTGGGAATTTTTTGACGTTTATAGGTTAAATGACATTCACATTTAACTCCAGATTATTTCGAGTTCATTCTATAAGTCGATAAATAAATAGTTATTTGTTTAACTAGGCAGCAAAGTAGTAGATTCACGGCCGAGGCTGAATTCATAGCCGAGCGTAGCGATGCTAGGAATTAAGCTAAGGCAGTCAATCTACTTTGCTGCCGAGTTGAACATATAATTTTTTCTCCGATTGTTCATAATAATATAGGAGGATATTGTATTTGCATATTATTACAATTCCCACAATCTCTATAATTTTCCTGTAGTGTTCAATTAAAATAAAAATTTATAGAAATCGCAGTTGTTGGAATGGTTGGTTGCTATGAAAATGTCCATAATAATTATAGTTTGACAATTCATGAAATTTCTGACACATATCAATCAGCAAAGTACCCACTTTGCTGCCTAGGCAGGAAAAGTAATACTTTGCTGATTGATATGTGTCAGCAAAATCAATATTTGCTGCCAATCGGAGAAAAAATAATTTACCTAACATTCAACATTGATTTGCCTAGCTGATGCTCTTAGTCTAAGAGCCGCCTGCAAAATTTCGACCGTCATCTGATAACGAAATGAAGTATGTCCCAAAGGCATGTAAAACCATTGTAGTTCATTAGACGGCACCTGTGCCAATAACTATCCTGGGTAAAATTGCACTGTGTGGAAATTTGCACTCAATTTCGCGATTTGATAACAAGATAACAATTATGCCATCCAATACTAATTGAATGGAACGGAACATCGATTTATTTGCTGCTATTATTCCGGACATACTTCTGTCATGTGATGTGTGTGATGAAGTTGCATCAAGAAGCAAATAAATGGGGATGATGTCGCTTTTGCGAATATCCGAACGTGCAGCGATTCGAACTCTTCTAAGTTAGTGGCAGAGCAGTCAATACTTCCTAGAATATTTCGCCCCCCTCTGAAGTCAATATCCGATGGACCAGTGTAGAACTCAAACATGTGGATTTGAATAGGTATTTGTAGTGTGAGCACCACATGAGTTTCATACTGGTCCATCGGATATTATCTTTCGACGAGGGCGAAATATTCAAGGAAATATTGACGCTCTGTAACTAACTTAGATCAGTTTGAATCGCGTCACGTTTGGATATACGCAAAAGAGACATTTTCCCCTTTCATTTGCTTTATGTTTCAACCCGTTATCACATGACGGAAGTATGTCCGGAATAATAGCAACAAATGAATCGCTGTGCCGTGGATTTGGCTCAGACTGAGGGGTGGCACAGGTAGGTTTTTGAGATCTACCATTCAATTGGTATCGGATGGCATAATTATTATCTCCTTATCCAATCGCGAAATCGAGTGAAAATTCCCGCACAGGGAAGTGCAATTTTTCTCAGGATAGTGATTGGCACAGGTGTCGTTCCATGAACTCCAATGTTCTTGAGTTGAGTTGAGTAAGCATCGGGGGGACTTGTCGAAGTCCAGACAGCTAGACCGCTAGTGTGGGTCCATTGTGTCGCCCCGTGAGTATGGCATCCTTCACAAGAGTCCCGCAGCTCTGCCGAAGGCTAGGCTGTCGGTAGCTGGGATGTTTGGCGCTTCTTCCGCTGGAAGAGTCGTTTGTCCGAAACTCCGCCATCTGAGCTGTGTTAGCGCAGGACATTCACATATGATGTGGATGGGAGTTTCGTCGTTTTCGAGACATAAACGGCACGTTGGGTCATCGGAGATGCCCAGAATGTTTAGATGTCTGTTAAGGCGGCAGTGTCCAGTTAGTAAACCAGTGACAACTCTGCATTGGCTTCTTCTCATATTTAGGAGGGATTGGGTGAGATGTATCGAAGGCCTATCGATGAAGGTCTTCGCCTGCCTCATACCCCTGGCCCCTGGATTCAGTCCATTCCCGACAAAACCTCTCTGTCAGAAGTTCTTCAAGTTTTCGCAGTCCTGTGCAGAGAGAAATGCTCACGATGGGCTCTGGGCCCACAGAACGGGCTGAAGAACCTTGCCTCTCTAGAGCATCGGCTCTTTCGTTGCCATCTATCCGACTATGTCCCGGAACCCAAAGTAGTTCGATACGGTTTTCCCTTGCTATCCCAGCAAGGTTTCGTTTGCAATCTATAACCAACCGAGAGATCACTCTTGGTGCTCGTAGAGCTTTATTGAGAGCGGCCTGACTGTCGGAGCAGATGGAGATGCGCTTGCCTCTTATGTGGCGTCGTGTGATTTCTTGTGTGCAGGCAAGGATGGCGAAAACATCAGCCTGGAATACAGTGGAAAATTGTCGAAGGTGTTGAAACTCTTCGTAGTCTTGGTTCTGGCCATATACGCCAGCAGCAGTGAGATTCCCAGCACGAGACCCATCCGTGAACCAGGTGAGTCCGGTGCCTGGAATCAGGGTGTGTGGTTCGGTTAGCCACTCGTCTATATCGTGAAAAGTAAATTTGACAGAGGAGATGCGGCGTAATGCGGTCTTGCACCATGGAAAGAACAGGACAGGCTAAGGTAGCTTCTGTCCAGATCTTGGCATGACCTGTGTTGCAGTGATAACCAGTCCACTGATTGGCGCAGTTGAGTCTGTACGCCGCTTTCATGGCTTCGTGCTCGCCAATGTTCTTACTTTCCTTTGAGACATATATAATTTCATTATCTGATGACGGTAGGAATCTGCAGCCGGCTCTCCTACTATTAACTTCAGGAAGTATGCATAATATTATATTCGTCAAATTTGATGTGACGGATTAACTTGAAAAAAGTGATGCGAATATCACATACTGAGAAAAAAATACGAAAAGGTGAATAATTGTTGGAGTGAAATATGGAAGTTCAGTAAAATGTTTGCGTTTTTTGATCTCCAATGATTTCAAATGATTATGCTTAGTGCTCAATTTTCTACACGCCTTTTCGTGTTTCCTCGTGAAATTTGTCAAATATTTTGAAGCTTCATTTTTGAGATACAAGATTTTTGAGTTTTTTGGAAAAAATTGCTTTTTATTCAGAGCCCAAAAACTCCTTAGTTGATTTTCGTTAAACTTAGCAGGTTTTTTGTGATCATTCTAGTGGTGCCTCATCCATCAGAGGTTTATCTGAGTTACATATTTTCATTCGAATTCACAATCGAAGATACAACTTAGTTATCCGCATCTACTTAGTTTTTAGGAAAAAAATGAAGACCTGATATGAAACCAAATTCTAATGTATAGGTTCAATCAAGACATTCATTGAAATCACTACATATCAGCCATAATAGTAGAGAAGCCCAAGCGGGGATTTCGGGATTCACTCGAGCGCGGCAGAGGGGGGTATCCTTGGACCTTGTGAAGTACTCCCACCATACCTGGGCCTTCATATGGTGTCGAAAGTTTAGGGCAGCCCGAGGGGCAGCCGATCAGATAAGCAAAAAGTCATCGATCGTTAGAAATACTCGAGCGCGTCAGATTAAGACTCGGATTAAGACATATGATACGTTGATTTCATGCAGAAAAGTGTGCATTTCAATAGTTTGACATAAGGAAATGGAAGAGCCACAAAGATGCAAAAAAAATCGTCACCTGAAGATCTATTCTCGAGCGTATTTCGTATAAAATACGTCACATAAGTAAGTGTATCTTTGTCTATTAGTATACGAATGTAATTCTAACTCTTCGAGAATATACTCCCGGTACATTCTCGAGTGCGGTTAATTATTTTCCCATTTTGGAGGCAATTAGTCACGGATCACGGAAATAACATAATCTGCCGATTTGCATAAGCCGAAGTAGCAAAAATCATCAATTGCTTGCAGCCACTGGGAACTATGTATGTAATTGTGGTACCTAACGTAGGAAACTGAAAAAAAGTATCACTTCGTATATTGTTATCAATGCTTGAACTTTGTCAGCTCAGGACTATATAGGAATCTGAAAATGCAATAAAATACAAGGTGTGTGAGTAACCCTGTATAATGCGAAATATTTCAGAAATACTGCTCATGAGACTAGACCATCTCAAAAATTTTTGTTCATCTATCTCAAACAGCAAAGCCGTTATCCCACTTTGCCACACTATTGGTCCACCCTGTATGTCTACATGAGCCTTATTCCATCTCAAAATTGTGAATTCTTCGAGCTGTTGAAGTCCTGCTACAAAAAACTGACCCACTCTGTATATTTTATATTTTAGTTATTATACATTCAGTTAACAAAAAAAAATGCAACCGTCAGATCAAGAAAATTCCGCTACATAATTATCAGATCATGGGTCGATACAAGGACATCAAGATGAAGCGTCTGTATAATAATCAGACGCGCTCGAGTATTTCGAAGTCACGAATTTTTTTTTTCACATTCAAAAATTGATCATGACTTTTGGTCGCTTCCAAATCGTCAGTATTTTGCATAGGTGCTACTTGTTGGTTCACTTAACGTTCATTCTCAATATCTGACGCGCCGGAATGATTTTTTTTTACCTATTCTCTATCCCTTCTAGAACCCCACCATGCCGACCGGCAGATTAATATTTTCCGGTTATCAGAAACACGTGGGGCGCATACACTATTAATATCTGATGCTCTACTAGAGTATTTCCATGTGACTGTTTTTTTTCTGATTTTTTTAAACATTTTTGAACACCTGTACACGCTCTCCCCACCAGTGGAAGGTCATAATATCATATAAACTTTTTTTCATTTTCGCATCTGATCTTCACAATCTGATACGTCCCCACGACGCCCGAGTAAATCCATATTTAGCCTCTTTACCTCCCCTACTATAATACGTATAATTATGTGATTTTGAGAATTTGTCAGTTTTCGATCACACTGAATGTTGGCATCATGAAAGCTTATACAGGGTGGTAATGGACAAAGGCAAATGATATCTCTAACGGTAACACCCTGTATCTCGAAAACCAAGCTCCAAAACATACCTTTATTAACTTTCGAATTTATTCTCGAATTTATTGTTGCGATGCGAGTACTATCAAATTTTAACGATTATAATCTGAAACCTGAAACGACTTGTATGCAGGGGCGTCCGCAGAAATAATCTCAGGAAGGGGCAAGTCACAATAAATAATGTACATATCAAATAAACTGTTTTTGCACGACCTATAAGCGAGTTTACACCAACAAAAGCGGGAATGCAGGCTAAAAAATCTTCCGGTTTTTTTCTGGCAATAAATCTACCACCATGTTTGCAGCAGCTTCTTCAATAGTTTTTCCACGCATTCATGCAATATTTATTGAAAAAACTTTGAAAAGCAATTAAGAAAATATGCTACCACACTTTTTCGATGTTCACAAAAAGCAGCAATATGGCTACTCTTTTTTATCGGTAGCATAGATCTAATTACACGTAGTCATGATAATCAAATAACTTGATTTTGTGATTATTGTGTTCAGATTTTCATTTTCACATTGACAATAATTGATTTTTTCATAAGATTCTTTCAATTAAAATCGTCGAGTCGTGCAAAAAATGGTATACATATAAACCTCGGAAGTGAGTTACTTCTTTCCTCAGTGTATTGTAGCACCCTCTGGCTACAAAACCACCTCTGGAAAAATCTTGCACTTCACTCTTTCGATATATAATCTACTATTATTCTACCTAAAAAATGGAATAACAGAAAGAAAATTAATTGAATTGACTCCACATAGGTATTCTGTTTACAGCCAAGATTGCAATAAAAAATTGCACGTGATAATGATCTTGTTCAAACAAAAATGGCATTCTTATAGATTCTTGAGCAAATTCATCAATATCTTCGTTGATAAAATCAACTTTATACCTATCTATAAGATGTCGATGAATACTAATTGAACAAAGTATCAGAAAGTCACTATAATAAGCGCTAATCAGAATAGGAATTGAATAATGCAAATGTATCTTGTTTAAAAAGTATCTGAGTAAAGACCAGGCGCTAGGGGAGGGCGAGCGCCCCCCCTTGCCTCCCTCTCCGGACGCCCCTGCCTGTATGTATATGGTATGCGACGAGTTAGGCGACACAATGTTATACAGGGTGAGTCATAACTATTGGGGCATAGACTAAGGGCCGATTGTTTGGACCAAAATATGGCGATATGACTAAATATGCCCTTATAGAATATTGCTGTGGAAAAAGGTAAAGGGCGTTGACGTTTACTTTTTATTTTCGTTTTTTGCCAATAATTTCACTGTATATTCATCAATTGTTATCAAAATTGGCACAGAGGCATAATTCCATACAGGGAATATAATTTTATCTACTATTCTACATTTTGATACAAGGGGCACCACGTGAATGATTCCTGATGATGAAATCGCCTGGTTACTTTTCTTGACGAAACTTTTGAGTGATTTCGATCAAAAAATATGACCAAAACATTATTTCTACGTAATATTGGTACTCTTGTTTGGACCCGATATTTTCATCCGTTTTCGAGAAAAACGCTATTGAACAGTTCAGAGTCTCAGAAGTTAATTACAAATATTATTTCATTCATGAAGAGGGTGCTTTGAACTGTCAGATAATGCTGCTGGTAATGGCATTTCTTGTCAGATGATGAATTTTGGTGCCAGTTTATAGTCAAAATTTTTTCGATTGTAATGCCTCGTCACAATCATTTTATGAATGAATAAATTGAATTGTAATATCTCTAATATCTAGACAGAAAGCAACCAAATCACAAAACTTTTTCAAATATATTCCATATACAGTGAAATTATTAGCAAAAAAAACGACAAAAAAAAAACGAAAATCAATTTTAACGCCCTGTATCTCTTTTCACAGCAATATTTTATCAAGGCATGGTTGGTTCAATCGCTATATTTTGGTCCAAACAATCCGCCTTAGCCTATGTCCCAATAGTTATGACTCACCCTGTATAGGTAAATTTATTGTATTTCACTTGAAGAAGCTTGTCGTGCCTCTCAGAATTTCGTGAAAATCGTTTGTGAAGTTTTCCACATTCACTATGGATTTCCATCGACAGTCGGATCGGTACAAAAAATAAATGCAGATGATGCAGACTTACTCCTTGAACGCTTGCAGCATCATTGGAAAGTTTGGCACAGAGAGCTCCAACTCCATTCGTTTTCTTGTCGAAAAACCCAATTTCCTGATTCAGCATCGCTGAAAACATTCTACTTCGTATCCTCTCAGTCATTCTTTCCCCAGCTATGCCAAACAAATATATCTGAAATTGATGAAGTATTCGAATTCATTTTGTTACACAGGTTGTGGCCCAACGAAAACTTCACACCCTGATTTTAGAGCTTCAAAATGAAAATCCCTTGATATATAATAGCTATTTATATATCAAGGAAGGAAAGGTATCCATTTCCTCCCGCGTGTGAAAACACACATGGGAGGAAATTAACTTTTGCTCCCATGATTTATATATATGATTTTATCAACAAACGCATTCTTTTATAGCATAATTCTTGAAATTGTGCTTCAGGCGGTCTATCACTCTTATGTCATCATGAACTAATTGATCTGTATATTATGTAACTGCATTTGAAAGTTTTCATTAAAAGTACGTTCAGAATATGAAGAAGCATATGTCATCATTAAGATATTATTGTTACTTGTTTTATAATAATAATAAAGACACTGATTACTTGGATTGCACAAATTTTATAGGTATATTGACGCCAAAGGATGCATGCTGAAGCCAATTTATTTTACCTCCCACGGGAGTAAATATTGTTTTCCTCGCGTGGAAGTAAATCGACAACTTTGTTTAACGGCTACTTTCGATTCAGTGAGTAAATAAATAACCTTTGCGTGCACTATAGTCACTGGGGGAAAAACCCATGACTTTGCTTTTTCACACTAGAATACAAAATTAATTACTACAGGATTAACAAACGGCCAGAATAGTGTAGTTGATGAAAGTTAACTGACAATATAATAATAATAATAAAAAAAAATACCTGGCAGAATATGGACACCATGCTTATAACTCCGGCAATAACTAAGTACGTGGAATATTTGTTAGTTTCAGAACGAACATAATCTTCGTCACTATTGGCTAGAGTCTGAAATGGAATATAAATATAATGATGGAGATAATATCAGGAAAAACGATTTGAAATCATGACGGTTTCCTTAAATATTTGTAAACTGAATAATGGGTAACATTGTCACCCAACTAGCAACGTGAAACTAATGAGAAATTATCCTATACCTAACAATTGTTTGGCGTCTATTGAAGAACGGCCCCATTCTTCACTTCGAACAATAGGATCATTTCATTTCATAAAAAATCAAAAGTAAAAATACATTTTCAATAGGAAGCTTCCATTTGAACGCTCTAAAAATAATAAAATAAAATGTTCTCTCATAATTTTGACTATCAACTTATAACCTCATTATGCACAATTTATATGATCATAAAAGCTTGTCGCGATGTTCAATATTTAATTGAATTGTAATTTTAAAAATTAAAACTCAGCAGATTTCACAAAATTAGATCAGTACTAGTTTATTCCCATAAGTAAATCGCGTGACAAGCTTTTATGGTCATATAATTGGTGTATAATGAGGTTATGAATTGAATGTCAAAATTATAAAGGAACATTTTATTTTATTCTTTCCAGAGCGTTTAAGTAAATAACAGCTTTTTATCAAAAAAATATGTTTACTTTTAATTCATTTCTCAATTTTTAGTTATCGCTGGCTAGGTTTCTCAGTCCAGCTCTTCTATAAGGAGACCTAATGATTTCACCCTACTTGAAGCCTTGTATGTTTGACCAGCAGCGAAGAACTTCGAGCCTAAGTAAATAACGGCGTAGTCGACAGTACTACCTTGTATTTTGTGTACTGCACAAGCCCAACATTATCACAATTGACAGCATTCATTGTCTCGCGGTTCCGTAACTATATTTTGCTGGAAATTGCACAGACTTTATTGAGCCAAATATCATTGTAAAATGTTGTTCCATGTTTAATTAACGGAGTACCTAGCTTTTTCATCAATCACTTGAAAACGTAAGATGGTCAGTTGAAAAGGTATACAAAAAACCCACTAATGTGTACAACATTACCAATTAACAGACCAAATTTGTGTTTTTTCAATTCACACTGAACATAAACGTGAACTTAATTTAGCCCTTCAATATTTTGGTATTCGAGATGTCGTGTAACTTCTTGACCATCATGTAATGTTGAATAATCAAGATGACTTGTAATATAAGTGGGACAATAGGACTTTTGGGTACCTACTTACTCCAAGAATGCTTCCAAACAGAACAGAGAAAACTGGCATAGAACAGCCTATAACAATAGACCCTATACTGGCTACCACAATCTGTTTCAATTCTGGCCTATTCATTTTGGCTACATCGAGTAGTCCCATGTCTCTATCGGATTGGAAATCGTCTTCATCATCTTCAGCTAATTCCTGGAAATAAGGGGATTAGGTAAAATGTGTTAAAATTCCATTTTCTGTTTTCCTATGAATTGTATTTTGAGCGCACAAGCCATCACTCTCCCTGAATTTAGAGTCACTGAATGGCATTTAATTAGCTAGAGTCACTGAACTCATTTTCATTAAGTACTAGTCAATATATAACATAGTCGTCTAAATATTTGGGTGGTTGATCTCTCTTTATATAGGGAATAACTTGGAATTCGAGAGTGGTGAAAAATTGTAATCTTGGAGTTGTAAATCAAAGCAATTGGTGCAGAGTTTTTTGATATCATGTTACTCAATGTGTTTTCTGTTTTCGGTCACGTGAAATCAGATTTAAACTAATCATGGGACAATTTGTATATTTTGTCACTAAATGTTCCTTCCGATAAAACGATTCCAATAAACTAACTACTTCAAAATTACAATTTTCTACTACTCTCGATTTCCGAAATATTCCCTATCTTAATCGTCGTCGGACACCGTATATGCACAGGGTGTTCTCAGAGGTGAAGCAGACGATATAGAATTCATTGAAATTGACAGATACAACAAATAGGTAAGGACTCAATAGAAATTGCAAAATATCGGATATATAGCATCAACTGAACATTTCATGAATCATTACTCAATATTATAAATGTATACGTAAGTTTGTTTGTTTGTTACGCTTTCTGTGGTGCTATGTCAAGTATGTAATAGTATAAGTCCAAATCTAGCGTTATGATCAAATGTATATTTCAGTTAACATGTAACATAACAAAACCGATAATAACAATATGACAAACTCCTCTTTACATCCATGACATCCCTGACATCAAGTCACCATACTGTGTGTCCACATATCATCTCACTTTCACACCAAAATCACTCAACCAATTACCATGGAACTTTGTAGTCACATTCTTAGATGTATTAGGAAGGACATGATATACTTTTTATTGATGAGAATTGGGATGAAAGGGATCCAGATCTTCGTAGCCAACGACCTAAGTCCGGAGGATTAAGTTGTCCATTTTAAGGCACTGAGGGCCACTTGAACAACGTAAAGAAGTACGAAGTAAAGGTCACCATTAGTAATAATCAGCTGGTTATCAACAAGGACTCAATATCTCTCGACGATTTCGATCTCAATCTCACTACATTCATCCAATTCAGAAAAAACATCAGATATTTGTTGAAACATTGGGAAATTCAATTTCAAGCTACCATTCGCCTAGTCGCTACTGCCGTTTCTAGATACTTCCAAGGGCAATGTTCCTCAGAAATCTCTGGTAACATTACATCACTAGTAATACCAGTCAGACGAACTCGACAGGCCCAGTCAGCACATTCGTTCGTTGTCAATCTTGAAATATGTCGAACAACACTTCATTAAAACTCGTTAGTCTATAGAATGGCGAACCTTTGGAATTTTTTGCCAATGGAAGTATTCCCAATAACTTCTAACCTCCAAAATTTAAAAACAAAATCTAACACCTACCTCCTCCTCCTATCCTCCCTATACGTACGCACGATGTTCTCCGAACATGATATGAATTTCGTTTTGTGCGCTTCAAAAGATAAAAAAAAAATTCGCCGGTATCTTGGCGCACCAAACCCAACTTTTTACCTGTCATTCATTGTCATTTTTGTTTCTAATTAACCGCTGTAGATACGACACAATCGATCACACAGACTTTTTTCTGTTACTCTTATAATAACCTTATTTCGAATAATGTATCGTAGGTGTAAACAGTAACACTTACTGATATTTCTGTTGGAACATCTTCAGTGTCATCATCAACTTCCTCTCGTTTTTTGTCAGTGTTTCCGTATTCTGTAACTTTTTCCATACTCTTGACTTGTGCCATCACCAAATTATAGTAGTCTTTCTTCAGTGCCATGAGCTCATCGTGAGTTCCTAGTTCTGTAACAGCTCCTTTTGAAAATACTATAATCTTGTTCGCTCCTTGTATAGTAGATAATCGATGAGCGACAATCACTGTTGTACATCCCATACTAGCCTGTGACAACGTAATACAAATGATAGAATCCACAATTACAAAAATTCAGAAGCTAAGAGGTGCCACGGGTTTTTGTTTGAAAAAAAAAATACTACTATACATACAGGGTTACTGGTAATTCGATACATTCTTTTGGTGATGTGATAGGGGAAGTGGTAGGGAGTGAATTCAACCCTTATATGGATTATGCAAAAGTAGATAGTTTTTGAGATATCAAATTTTTTTTGTTCATCCCAAAAAGGTACGCTTCCCGGGTTTAAAAGTTAGTTTTCCGAAAATCTGCTGTACATTTTTTCAACCTTTCAACTAGAATACATGATCAACACTATGGCCTTATGTTTGGAATGGAAAATATCCAGAAATAATATAGATAAAAAATAAATTGTAAGTACAAAGTCATATTATCGTTTGTTAATTGTGGATTTTAACACTTCGTAGCGGATATTTTTAGAAAAATCCTTAAGCCACATTTGTAAAAAAAATTGTAAAACTATACCTTGATGCAATAGCTATCTAACTGGGTACAAATGATAATCGAAGTGCTTGATACGGGTTTGTTTTTTTGAAAGAATAGTAAAAACGTACTTGAAAAACTTCTACTAGTATTATTCACTTTCTACAAATCCTGTTCAAAATGAGACCTCTGTTACGAATACTCGGCAGCGTCTCCTTATTTCCGTCTTTGTTGTTCTAGTTGTCAAATTATTTTGTATGTGCAGGGGGTTAGGTCAGGGCTTCGCGCTGGCCAACCTATTCGATCTGACCTTCTAATCCAACGGTTCAAAAAACGTTCATCTAGGAACTACCGAACGATCAGCCGATAATGCGCTGAACAACCGTCTTGTTGAAATACCATTCGTCCTCTGATGGCGAGAGAAACATTCCCAAGAAGCTCCTGTAGATCATCCTATTATAAATAGCTTCTTTCACGTTGATGAAAGTCTGTGCATCTATTTCTTCACATGTATCTATTATTCTGCGTTCCAACTCTTTTATTGTTTGGCATTCATTGGCGTAGATTTTTTACTTCAGATACCCCCAAAGAAAAAATCTAGAGGTGTAAGATTCGGAGATCTTGGTGGCCACTTTGTACTTCCCCTGTGACCTATTCATCGCCCAGGAAAGTTAGTATCCTAACCTAACCTAACCTAACCTGACCTATTCATCGCCCAGGAAAGTTAGTATCGAGGAAGTCTCTAGCCCTACGATCAAAATGGGAAGGTGCTTCATCCTGCTGAAATATGATTTCACGATTTTCAAACTCGTCCTGATTGTTCAATACAAATTGCCTTATTCGAGGTTCAATTTCAGTTTCTTAAAGAGTGTTGTAAAGAACTCCTGTAAGATTGTCTCTGATGAAAATCTGCCCAAGAACGCGATTGCCTAAAATCCCCGCCCAAACATTCAGGAAAATGGGTATGTCCCTCTCTGAAAAGTCGCGGATTTCTTGACTTTTCCATTCAGAAGAAACGTGCATCCGTCTTAGAAACATACACGTTTCAGGAAGCCCCGTTCTCCTTCAATTGTTCTTGTTAACCACTCACAAAATTCAAGCCTCCGGTCTTTTTTTTTTCTTCTTTTTATCTTTTTTTTATGTTCTGGTTGTTCTGGAAGGAACCAAGGAGATGAGGTAGGAATTGTTGTTCTTCTTAAATCTCTGGAGGTTATATGCTTCGGGGAACATCTCCCGTGAGAGCATGCAGGATTTTCATTTTATAGGGATGAAACTTTTTTTCTTGTAGAACTCTTTGGACACCTACTTTTTGAACTTACTCTACAGGATTCAGCAACTGCAGAGGTCGGATTGATTACCATTTCAGCAACAATTTAAATCTTTTTTTTTCCTGAAAAAGGCGGTCTTCCTGATCTTGGAGCATCTTTCAGCGTACCAGTTGCTTGGTGCTTATTTAAAAGTTTGCGCAAGAATCCAATATGGCGCCCATAAGAAGAAACAAAGTAGGATGTTATAACTTCAGCATCAAGAACGTCATGAAAAATACAATGACTGATTCAGATTCCTTGTAAAAAAGTGACCCCAGTCAGGAACCTTAAGGTTTTTTGGTTTCTGCTTGAAAAAATAAAAACGAAATTATAAATTTCCGTTTTCTTCCAATAATTCAAAAACAAAAAGACTTCAAATTTTCTTGCAGATAAATGCGCAAGTTTGCCCTAATTCAATCGACCTCGTATCTCTTATAACAACTGAGATCCCCATGGTGGAGGTCGAAAAACGGACACCCTGTACACACTCCGCAGGTGTGGTTGAATATTCGTCAGATTGAGTCGGTATTCCGGAATTTTCAGAAAATTTGAAAAACTCGTAACACCACTTTCGTACATAAACTATGAACTTACAGAATCTAAAGCTGCTTGAACTTTAGCCTCACTCGCATTATCCAAGGCAGAAGTGGCTTCGTCTAACAAAAGTATGGAAGGATTTCTGACTAGAGCTCTGGCAATGGCTATTCGTTGTTTTTGCCCTCCCGACAACTGTGCCCCCCTTTCCCCCACCAGGGTGTTGTATCCATTCGGAAGCATTTTGATGAAAGTATGAGCGTTTGCTTTCCTAGCTGCCGCGATGATGTCTTCTTCGGTCGCATCCAAATTTCCATATTTTATATTCTCCATGATGGTGGTTCCGAACAGAATCGGCTCTTGACCTACAACCCCAATGTTCTTTCGCATCCAAGTTAGGTCGAGATTTTTTATATTTTCTTTGTCAATGGTGACCTGGAATGTTATTCAGTCACAAATGGAGATCGTTGACTCATTTTCTTATACTTACTTCACCAGAAGTAGGATCGTAAAACCTTTGAATTAGTTGAATTACAGTTGATTTACCACATCCAGAACTGCCAACTAAAGCTACTGTCTCACCTGCTTTTATATCTAAGTTCAAATCTTGTAAAATCTGTAATAATTCGTGATATTATTTATACAGATTGGATAAGAATTATGGAACCACCTGGATATATCAGTGAGATGGTTCAGTATTCTTTGGGAATGAAAATTCGTAGTTTAACTTATACCAGCTTAGATTTATCGGAGTTTTTCCGAAGGAGATACGCATTCAATTTCAAAAAACTGAACCGTCGCATGCTTCAGGAGGTTTCATGGTTTTGACACAGTTTAGTGAAATGCACCTATGACTCAATTTCACAGGGTGCCCCATATGATCCGCGAACGTTGTCATATTAATAGGCCTCGTATATTTCCACATCGCAAATTATTATATTCACCTTGTTTCTGACAAAGGGTTTCGCCACACAGTAGTTTCAATTTCACCACCATCCAACATTTATCAACATTTAGCCCTATTTTTTGAGAATGAAAGTTGTGGACCAAATTAGTAGGTGGTTTACGATTTCGTACGAGCATCAAAAAATGGGACACCCGCAAATGGAACTAGCACATTAAAAAAATGTACGAAGAACACAATCATTTGTTTTTGGATGTATGATAAATTGATATTTATCATACAGGTACAGGACGTGAAAAGATATTCTGAATTGAGAAAACTTGATCACGAATCTGCGATTAAGGTCTTTAAAAATAACAAGTTTTTATCGTTCAAGTGTGAACCCCTTGATTGGGTGAAAGTGTTGAAACGGAATATTCTCAGATATATTTAAATGGAAATGTATATATAGAAATACATTGAGAATTCGCATTCTCCATGTGATGGAAATATTAATTCTTTCTGGTTTATTCAACAGAAAACAAATACTTTCCTGGCTATATGCCAAGACAAACATTGAATTATATCTATCGAACACACACGATGAGAATTTGAAAACAAAATCATCTGAAGTAGAGAATTTGCATTCTCATTCATATAAAGAAATGCACATAATATCATTCTGAAAATTCAACAGAAAACCACTACTTTCCTGGCTATTTGCCACGTCGAACATTGAGTTATATCTGTTGAATATCCAAAAAGAGAGCATGAAAAATCAATATCCTCTGAAATTGATGATTGACATTATCTCTCAAATCGAATAGAATAATATGATGTATGTACAAATGTGCGGCTGGCTTCTGTTTGTAGACTCCGCCGATTTGTTGTTTCTTCTTCCACCAAGTGTTGCCTACCTGTTGCACACTTTTTCACCGAACTGATGAGGGCCGAAAGCTCGAAACACGTGTCTACGGTTATTTCTTCATGAGGGCTATGTCCACTAATCTCTTCAATGATTTTCTACAGTTCCCTCGATATCACTTTCATTTTATTATATATATATATATACACACTCACCGACAAAAAAACGGCCACATAACAAATTAGCCAAATTATTCGCCCTGTAACTTTTTTAATTCTCGTCCGATTTTCGTGAAATTTCGACCAAATCAAATATTCATGTTTCGGAATGTCAGCCTGAATATTAGGTTCTAAGAAAAGCTGATGGCTTGATCATTATACAGGAAAGAACAAAAGTTATTCTTTCATCCTTAACTTCCTAACGCCCTGTGGAAAAGGTAAGTGGTTAAAATTGAGTTTATTATGTTTTGGATTGAAGAATGATACTTTCTCAACATAACGGTTTTTGTTTCAGGCCGATAACAAGAGGAGATACAAGTGTTTTAAGAAAGTATGTTTTTTTATAAACAATAATTCAGAACCATTTTTTAACCTGCTTCTGCTTCATCATGTTTTGAATTGAAGAGTACCTGATCCTTTTTCGTCCCTTCCCAACACAATGGTTCTTGATTCACGTTAATATCTTCTTTTTGAGAGGAGATACAAGTGTTTAAGGAAAGTATAAAAAAACAATAATTCAGGAAACGTGTGAAGAAGTCCATATTGCTCAAAGTGGAGTGGTATAGTGTCTGAGGGAAAAGTAAATCTCAAAATCATCTCCACGACATTTAATAGTTGAACAGTTATGTTGCAAATGGGAGGGACATGTTTCGGACTTATAATAAGCCCATCATCAGCCATGAGGATGAGAAAATGTTCTTCAAAATTGTGAAATCTTATTAAATTAAATAGTAAACATAATAAATTATTATTGAAATATAAAACAGGTATTTTTATTTTAAAATGGGCAGCGTACAGGCGGTACAGGGCCCTCTTGAATCTTTATCATATTTTCTATTCGATTTAATGAGATTTCACAACTTTGACGAACATGTTTTCATCCTCATGACGTTATAAACCTTGGCTGATGATGGGCTTATTATAAGCCCGAAACATGCCCCTCCCATTTGCAACATTGAGATTTACTCTTCCTTCCATAATTCAGAACCTATAGAGCATCCAAAGGGATCAACTCCAGGGGTTCAAGGAGAATTTCAGGCAATTCTTCAAGACTACTTGAGAAATTTGATCCACTCGATGCCACGGCTGTTTCGAGCTGTAATAAACTCCAGGGCATACAAGTTGTTAGTTTATGTAGGTTCTGATTATTGTTAATTAAAATTGAAAAATGCCATACATTTCTTAAAACACTCGTATCTTCTCTTAAAAATAAGATATTGACGTGAATCAAAAACAATTGTGTTTAGAAGGGACCACACTTTGATTCGAAGCATAATGAAGTCACGTTTAACCACTCAATTTTGCCACAGGGCGTTAAGAAGTAAAGGGTGAAATGATAACTTTTGTTTTTCCCTGTATAATGATCAAGTCATCAGCTATCGATGGAAACTAATATTCAGGCTAACATTTCGGAACATGAATCTACGATTTGATCAAAATTTCGCAAAAATCGGACAAGGATTAAAAAATTTACAGGATAAACAATTTGGGGAAATTTTTTGGTGGTTGGTTTTTTTGCCGGTGACTGTATATCCATTTTTTTGTGTTCATGAATATATATATGAGAATATTCCTTTTCCACACAATCATTGACTGTTATCGACAACTATTATTCGACTTCTCAACTTACCGGGACATCTGGTCTGGAAGGATAGTGGAAATTGACATTACTAAACTTAATGTTCCCTTTGATTTTATCATTTTGCTTTCCTTTTCCTTTGGAAAGGTTAATAGTGGGAACGTTGTCGATAACACTGAAAATTTTACCAGCAGCCGCTTTCGATATACCAAAAGCTTCAATATAAGGAGAAGAAATTCCAAAATTCATCGAACCATTCATCACGCAGAAGAATACCTGAAAACGGTGTCATTGCTGATATTTTTGAAAAACTAAGTTTGAAAGTACAGGGTACAGAGATATGGAAAAATGTTAAATGAAAAATGTGTTTGAAACTACCCAAACTCTTTTTGAGTAACCAATAATGGTAGGTATATCGAGATTTTTTAAACAAAACTTAAAAATCAGCATGAGCGTTGTTTCTTCTCATAGATCTTCTTCTTTTTATACATTTGCTGATGATGAAGGATTAATCCTTCGAAACATGTCCTTATGTCCATGATCGTTGGTCATTATTAAATTGTTCATGTGGTGGAGTTGTGACTGTAAGTTCTTTCACACCTCCTGGTCTTTTTGTGTAGTTGTTATATGAATAGGGCCATTCATTTTTCCGGAAAGAACATCAACTCTGATTTCTTATGGAACACCGTATATATTTTTGACATTCCGATAGACCCTCCTCTCCTGATTTCAAGAATATAAATAAGTCACATATTCGGATGAAAAATGGTTGAGTTATCAATGATCAAAGTTCACCAAAGTAACGTTAGAAGAGTAACGCTTCGTGAACTATCACTTTATACCTAATGTCAGTTGAACATAGTGGTCTTTGAAATACTGTTCATACATTGTTCAAGCTCCATTAAAATCTCATGATTGAAATCGTTCAATTTCATTCAAAAAAAAAAGTTCAAACTGTAACAGTTTTTTTTTTAAATTGGAATCGAACGATTTGAATCATGACATTTTCATTGAGCTTGAACAATATATGAACATTATTTCAAAGCCCACGAAGCGTTACTTTGGTTAAGTTCGATCAATAATAACTCAACAGTTTTCCATCCAAATATGCAACTCATTTATATTTTTGAAATCAGAAAAAAGGGCTCTATCGACATGTCAAAAAATATATAGGGTGTTCCTCCAAAAGAATCAGAGTTAATATCCTCTTCGGAAAAGCTAATGACCTTGTATATGGAACAACTACACAAAGAAAAGTTTGAGTTGTTTCGAACAACTTTTTCATTCAACATTTTTTCATATATCTCAAGACAGAATAGTTAAGAAGGGTCTCAATTCTGAAAGGTGCACCCTGTATGTATGTATGTATGTACTCACAGTGACCATATTCCCTGGAGTATATACAGGACTTTCCCAACCTCTTTGTTCTAGGATCAGCTTCACCCCATACCAAAAGGCTAAGGCGTAACTGGAATAAATCACGAACCATAGAATGCCGAAGCCCAAGGCAGAAAATAGTGATCTCTTGATATTATTCTTCCTCGCAAAAATCAAATTACTCCCGTATCTTTCTATTTCCTTCTCTTGTCCGCCAAATGCTATAACTGTTCTAATAGAAGATAAGACTTCTTCTGCTATCGCTCCTGCAGTACCGTAAGCATCCAGTTCATTTTTGGATAATTTAGTGGTTAACTGAAAAATAATAAGATTTCTATTCTTTTAAACATATAGTGTGAACAAATTTCAAAATTTGTATATTCCTACTCCGAAGTTGAAAATAAACTTCCAGAATTCGAAACTTTCGTGAGGTCGGGAAGAAAGGGACTTATATCTTGAAGTGAAATCCGCGGGGAAGTGCTGCCAGTGTTACAGCCAAGAACAAGTTATTTTTATGAAAAATTCTCATCCTCGCCGAATCCAAACTGACATTACTTTGATGCCTTGATATCGTGTACGAATGTCTAGAGAGAGATGTCTAGAGAGACCGCACAGACACCGTATATTTCTATATATCATCATCATTTGTAACGCACAGTAGAGAATCTCTATTATGTTGGTGGAACATCGTGCATACCCAGGAATGATAAGGAGAAAAGTTAGGTATAGCTTTTTTGTTGATTTTTTGAAGTTCATGAGATTATGTTGAAGAATTTCAAAGCTCATCTCAAGATTTTTTTTATGTTCTCGTTCCCACGAAAAGGGATATCCTGTAATGTTCAGAGGACATCGTTAGAACCAAGGGAAATAAAGTAGGAATTGGTGTTCTTCTTGAATTTCTGGAGGACATATGCCTCGGGGAACACCTTCCTTGGCAATGTTTTCCAGAGCATCGCTGTTCGTTGGATGAACGAGTCTTTGGAAAGAGATGTTCTGGAGGTCTCCAAAGTGACCACGAAGGGGTGCGAAGCCTCAACTCGATGGGTTAATCTCGCGGGGACTGCCAAGGGAGGAACAATTGTTGATAATTCAGAAGAGCATTGTCCATGAAAATATCTATAAAATAGAGCCAGATCGCTAACTTTTCTACGGTGTTCCAGAGAAGTGAGTGAGTTTGTGAGCAAGGCATCACCCACGAGACGAATTGCCCTTTTTTTGGACAGAATCCAACAGTTTAAGGGTATGTTTGGGTGCTGCACTCCAAATATGGGAACAGTATTCCAGGACAGGTCAGATCTGTGCCTTATAGATCATAAGCAGCTGACTGGAAGTGAAATAGCTCCTGTCCCGAAACAGAAAACCAAGCTTTTGGGATGCACTTTTAGCAATTGATTTTTCGTGATTTTCCCAAGAAAGGTTATTGCTGATAGTAATACCAAGCATCGAAATGAATGTCTTCAAAGGTATGGTTACTCCTGACAAGCTTATGTCGAAGAGTTGTCGAGTTAGTCTGACAGGCATTGCTAGTGATGGGATGGTAGCAAGGATTTCCAAAGAACACCTTCCGTGAAAGTATCTATAGAAAAGTGAAAGGTCGCAGACTTTCCTACAGTGTTTCAATGATATTAAATATGAGCTTCTCGAATATTGAGGAATGTATGTGTTAATTCCTAGCATGAAAATCTTGGATATTCCCGCAGCACACTGTGAAGAATCACCCAGTGACAAGGCAAATCAGAGAAGAAGATGATGTGGTACGATGGTACCCGACATTGTTTAGGCCTTTTAGGCAAACTGAGGTCGGCTTTTTTCAAACAAAGGAAATACAGGCTTGGTATGTATTTTTACATTGCATGTATGTTTGAAAATGTATGGAACTTCATTTGAAGTACTTAGTAACGGAACTGAGAAAAAATTGTAGGAACATTTTAAATATGTATTTTTGGGAAAAAAAAACTACAATAGCCCCTAAGGGTACTTTGTTGAATGTATGTCTGTTCTTACTACCGTTTATACCTTAATGATGTCGTCGATTAAATTTTGACTGCACTTATGATGGCTTATTAGCCGAAAGCGCTCTGCGATTGATAATACAATTTTTTTACACGAAATACGGACTTCTTCATTTGATTGATCAGTTACTTGTATGCAGCTAGTTCAAATCTTCATCTTATTCTTATTGTTGACTCAGTTGTGTTGCCATGCAGCAATGGGGTTGTACACACTCTAATTCACTCCACATACCCATTTCATATTGATCATTCCGTGTACAAATAATATTTGATGCAATCCTTCGTTATTTAAAATCAGCACAAATATATTTTCTTCGATAATAAAATTCGGAACCACCGAAAAAGTCAGCTTCGATGACGTCATGAACCGGATCGAAAGTCACCGTTATCTGAATTCTGACTTTCGCATAAACAGTTGGACCACATATTTTGTTGCTGCCAGATTTGCTACTAGTAACTACAGTATTCACATTCACAGAAGACAATAGTTCGACCTGGTCCATAATAATCACTTATTGAATACTTATACCGGGTGTCCCGAAATTATCCTGCCAAACTCCACCAGCGGCTTCTACGATCAAAAATAGGAAGGACAGTTTCAATGAACATCAGATGAGAAATATCTCTTGAGAGAGCTCCGGCACCCTAAAAGGGGGCTCCTGATGATGATATTTCTTGAGTATTTCCGAAACTCTATGTGATGAATAAATGCAATTTGGTACAAGAACTGAACTTTCCATCCCCAATGCAGTGAAGATGAAATCATTTCAAAATTCCACTCAGGAATGTATAATTCAGGGTGGGACTACATTAAATAATGCTCAACATTTTTATTATACATATTTTTCGACAATTTGATATCGGATTATAAAAATCCACACCTTCGCACAGAAAAAAGGTACTCTTGTTCTAGTAGGAGAGCCAGTGACATTTTTCAGTGATGATTTAGTTAAGGCCTATTTTTTGAGAGGATGTTGAGGAGGGCCTAACTAAGTGTCATCCGCGAGGATTAACCCTGATTCCAGTCATAAGAGGGTGGCAGAACGCCCCCAACGTGTAACAAAAACGGCATCTTTTTATCATTTAGTTAAGGCTGAAATTTTCTCCAGTAGTCCTCTGATAGCCCGCAATCATCGATATAATATTTGCAGAACGATTGGCCAGTCATAAGGGGGTGGCAGATCACACCCACCATGTCGCGTGAGTGATGAACTTTTTATTATTTAGTTAAGCTCCACCTTTTAGTATGTTGTTGTGACAACTATTCCAAGTGTGAATGCCAATTTGCAGAACAAAATGGCGGCATCAACACCCTGGCAGAACGATTTGAAGTTTTTACTTTCAGCCGCAAATATCTTTGGAACTATGATAAATGCGAGAATATAACTTCAGAGACTTTTTGTGGGAAATTTAATTCTCTACAAAAAAGATCATTTGACATTTTTTCGCATTTTGACTTGTTTCTGAGATATACTGAAAATAAAAAAAAATACAGATATTTTTCACGTTTAGACGCACATATCTTTGGAACTATTTAAGATACGAGAATACAACTTGAGAGGCGTTTTGTAGGAAATTTAATTTTCTACAAAAAGGTTTTTTGACATTTTTTCTCATTTTTACTTGTTTCTGAGAAATACTGAAAATAATACAAGACCAATGATAGTCAAGAATCATTTGTTAAGAATATCCGGAATTGTGATGCCTCTAACTTACCACCATGTTCATCAGAATTAAGACAACAAATACTACGAAGCTCGTACATTGCCAGTATTTGGCTCAATGCCCATTTGCAACAGCCGACGGAAATGTTGCCAGAAAATTACGGCTGGATCATCAATGATAATAAATACGAATTCTTGTGGTTCGAAGGAGATCAAATGCCCCAATATATTAGTGATGTACTCACTGATTCCTCCAGTGAAAACAGCAAAGATGAAAAGGGTGACAATGATTCAGGTATATAGATAATACAGTAAATATAAACACAAACATATATTACATTTTTCTAATCCATTTGTTTTCAATTTTATAGATATGGACTCCCGTGCATTGAGTGATCTTGATTCGGCAGACGATGAGGAGGGTGATTCCGACTGGCAAGAGGATTGATAAAAAAAAAAATTTACCTTACTTTTTATACTATCTACTCAGTTTTTGTTTTATATTTACTATCATAAGTTATTCAAATAAAAATTCAAAGAAATTAATCACGAAATCGTTATTATTCAACAATTTCCTTAGTTGCGCAAGATTTATTTGAAATAATAAAAATAATTATGAGTTGAAATTATTACGTTTTTTGAGATATTTTTTATTTATTTCGTATATTCTCTTTCTTGGAAAATTTTTGATATGATGAAATGAACATTAGTGATTCAACATATATTCAAAATGTTTCTTATCTATCGAGATAGTGAAAGTTCAATAATTTCAATTTTTTTTCGAAAAATTTTCATAATTTTTTTTCATGGCAATCAGGTTTTTTTCGGTGAAAATTACAATTTCCGACGTTTCTCAAATTGTAAGAATAAAAAAAACATGGTTTTAGGGAAATATTAATTAATACGTCTCCAACGATTTGTCGGCAATGGAAAGGAAATTCTCTATTTTCGGTATATCTCAGAAACTAGTCAATATGAGAAAAAATGTCAAATGACCTTTTTTGTAGAGAATTAAATTTCCTACAAAACGCCTCTCAAGTTGTATTCTCGTATCTTAAATAGTTCCAAAGATATGTGCGTCTAAACGAAAAATATCTGTAAATTTTTTTTATTTTCAGTTTATCTCAGAAACAAGTCGAAATGAGAAAAAATGTCATATGACCTTTTTTGTAGAGAATTAAATTTCCTACAAAACGCCTCTCGAGTTGTATTCTCGTATCTTGAATAGTTCCAAAGATATGTGCGTCTAAACGTGAAAAATATCTGTAAATTTTTTTTATTTTCAGTATATCTCAGAAACAAGTCAAAATGAGAAAAAATGTTAAATGACCTTTTTTGTAGAGAATTAAATTTCCTACAAAACACCTCTCAAGTTGTATTCTCGTATCTCAAATAGTTCCAAAGATATGTGCGTCTAAACGTGAAAAATATCTGTAATTTTTTTTTATTTTCAGTATATCTCAGAAACAAGTCAAAATGCGAAAAAATGTCAAATGATCTTTTTTGTAGAGAATTATATCTCCCACAAAAAGTCTCTGAAGTTGTATTCTCGCATTTATCATAGTTCCAAAGATATTTGCGGCTGAAAGTAAAAACTTCAAATCGTTCTGCCAGGGTGTTGATGCCGCCATTTTGTTCTGCAAATTGGCATTCACACTTGGAATAGTTGTCACAACAACATACTAAAAGGTGGAGCTTAACTAAATAATAAAAAAGTTCATCACTCACGCGACATGGTGGGTGTGATCTGCCACCCCCTTATGACTGGCCAATCGTTCTGCAAATATTATATCGATGATTGCGGGCTATCAGAGGACTACTGGAGAAAATTTCAGCCTTAACTAAATGATAAAAAGATGCCGTTTTTGTTACACGTTGGGGGCGTTCTGCCACCCTCTTATGACTGGAATCAGGGTTAATCCTCGCGGATGACACTTAGTTAGGCCCTCCTCAACATCCTCTCAAAAAATAGGCCTTAACTAAATCATCACTGAAAAATGTCACTGGCTCTTAGACTATTCCGTAACGATCAGATGTAGCATTATCGAGTAAAAGCGATTTGAAAATATTGTTTCATCTCAGATATTATGCATAACATTGCAATGAATTGAAAATGGAAAAAGTACACAAAAATTGAAGTAGTTTTATTATCATCATTTTACTATTTTTCACGCTTTCATGAGATTGTTTGGTGAAGAGAAAGTAGTTGATTTTTTTAACAGTCATGATTTGAAAATTGGCAACGTTATGCATATATATGATATGATTGTATCAATATTTTTAAATCGTTTCCACTCGAAAATGATCATCTGATCGTTACGGAACAGGAGTACCTATTTTCTGTACAAACGTGTGGATTTTTATAATCTGATCAATGCGGAACAATCAACAATTCATAATCCGAGATTCATTGTCGACAAATATGCATACAAAAAATTTTGAGCAACATTTAATGTAGTCCCACTCTGCATTATACATTCCTGAGTGAAATTAAACACTGCATTGTGCATGGAAAGTTTAGTTCTTGTACCAAATTGCATTTTTTTCACATGGAGTTTCGGAAATACTCAAGAGCCCCCTTTCAGGAGCCCGTATCTATCCCTTAGGTGACATTTCTCGTCCCTTTTTTCTTTGAAACTTTCCTACCTATTCTTGATCGTAGAAGCCGCTGGTGAAGTTTGGCAGGCTAATTTCGGGACACCCTGTATATTATATACCTACTTGCAGGATGCTTCAGTACCAATAAAAATATCCTATTTTCAATGTTACGAGATATCGTGAATTTCAATAATTATTTGAAAAATGTACAGAGCTCTGGGTAAAAACAGTTTGCGACAGTGAACTGCACTCAGGTTTCGAAAAAAGTGACGCACTTGATATTTGACCTATTTTCTTAAAAAAAAGACAAAAAATAGTAGGCCGATTTTTTTTTCATTTGCTGGTAGGTAATGCTTTTGTCTTGAAAAAAAAATGAAGAGGTGACAATTTTTTCAAAGCCTCCTTGATGGTTGTGGAATAACTCGAACCATGATTTATTCTCAATTTTTGACTCACCCTGTGTGTTAATTGAGTAATGGCATAGAAAGTGCTTACACGCTATACGAAAGAGGCCTCTTTTGCGAGCATTTTGTTTTTTTATTCATTGGTTTATCTCTAAAATTTTCCGACTTACAGCTTTTTTTTACTAAATCCTTGCAGATCACCAACTTTCTGTATTTATCGAGAAACAATTTTCTAATGAAATAAACTGATACCAATAATTTTAAAAAACATTTTTATTAAACTCAAAATTATAAATTGGGATGACTGCTTAATACCGTGTATTGCCTCCTCTAGCAACTCTAAGAACTTCAAATCTACGAGGCATACTGGAAATTAAGTTGCTTATCGTTTCCATTGGTATACGATCCCATTCTTCCACTAATGCATCTGCCATTTCTGCGAGAGTTTCCGGAGACCTCTCGCGAGAACGTACCCTTCTCCCTAATTCATCCCACAAATGTTCTATAGGATTTATATCGTGGCTTCTCACAGGCCATTGTAATGTGGTAATACCAGTAGCTTCTAAGAAGTTTCGCACTATTGCTGCGGTGTGTGGTCGGGCATTATCCCGCATAAATATAAAATTATTGCCCACTAACTCTGCATAAGGTAAGACATACTGCTCTAAAATGTCAATGTAAATGTGGGCATTCATAGACTGCCTCACCGAAAAAACATGAAGGGGTGTCTTTCCATTCATTGAAACCCCTCCCCACACCATAACGGACCCACCATCAAAACTTTCGCATTCTGTTATTAAATTTTGATTAAACCGTTCACCAGTTCTTCTTCACACTCTTTTTCTTCCATCCACCATGTTTAGGCAAAACATTGAGTCATCCGTAAACAAGACATTCGACCATTCAGGAATATTCCACTGTCCATAATTTTCAACAAAATTTCTTCTAGCAGCACGATGTTCGGGCAATAATTTGGGACCTTTTGCAGATCTCTTAGCTTTTAAATTAACTTCTTTCAGATGTCTACATACCGTCTGCTTACTTACCGCAACATCACGAATTTGGCGAAGTTTTTGCTGAACATTTACCGCAGTATTTGATCGATTCCGTTAAATCCGCAATCTCAAGAAGCGATCATCTCTTGGAGAAGTTTTTCGGGGGCGACCAGAACCGACCCTCCGAGCGGTGCTTCCTGTTTGTTCGTACTTGCGGATTGCTCTACGAGCAGTTGCTTCATAAACTCCCACTGCACGAGCGGCGTAACGTTTACGCTACGCCCATCGTTTACTAAAGCAACTAATCTTGCTACTTGTTCAGGATTCATTTGAGGCATTTTATGTAATTTTAGTCAATAAAACAAGACACTTAATTACAACATACATACATACATACATACAACAAATAAGTTGCTATTACAACGGCATTTGTTTTTTTGAAGACAATGTGATCCTACCAGAGTACAACCCAATCAATTTTGAGTACTATGATCCTTCAATAAATTTGATTTGTGGGATAAGCGTAAGGTATCAGCAAAAAAGCTGTAATTTGGAAAATTTTAGAGATAAACCAATGAATAAAAAAACAAAATGCTCGCAAAAGAAGCCTCTTTCGTATAGCGTGTAAGCACTTTCTATGCCATTACTCAATTAACACACAGGGTGAGTCAAAAATTAAGAATAAATCATGGTTAGAGTTATTTCACCACCACCAAGGAGGCTTTGAAAAAATGTTCACCTCTACATTTTTTTTTAAAGACAAATGCGTTGGTATGTGCATCACTTTTTTTGGAACTGAGTGTATGTAGTTAGGGTTAGTACTTCGAAATAATGAAAAACATTTTTTTACTGCAACAGACCCATTCAACTCGTTCTGGCAGATTTGTGGTGGTGCTCGGCAACACATTTTCCTGAATAACAAAGCGACATGATTATCTCGACTATTGAGAACATCGTTATAATTTGATAATACTGTTGATGATATTGAAAACTCACAACACTGACGATTCCTAATGCTATAAGGGAGGCAGGTAACGATGTTAGACAAATGAGTGCTAATTCCCATCCTTTCACGAGTGCAATAACCAATGATGTAATGAATATAACTTGAAAGTTCAGGAATACTGGCACCTTCTCTCCAATTCCATCTTCAAATTTTGATAAATCCCTGAAAATAATAGATGAATAACAATCCTCAGTTTTGAATTTGAAGACTAATAAGTACCTATTATATCAATAATATAATGTTACGTGATTCATGACTTGTGGTTTTTGCATGAAAATCCATAATATTTTCTTGCTTGGGGAATAATTGGGTCTGCAAGAGGAAATAAGTACTTTTTTCCACCACTAGCTATAAAACCTACCATTATTCACTCCTTTTCGAGGCGTAAAGTGTGTTTTTACTACCCAAGGTAATTTACGTCATTTTATTAACTACTAGTCAATAAGGTAAATAATGCTTTCATAGTGATAATAGGTCTATATTTCGGTTTCACAGAACTGAATTGATTGAAATATATTGCTAGTGGCATCAGTGAAGAATATCACCACGGGACCTTATACCTCTCAGCTGAAGCCTCTGGATATAATCTTGGTCCCTGGGTAATAATGATATCCTTTACAACCTTGGTGTATACATACAGGGTGAGTCATGACTAACCAGCCATAGCCCAATGGCGGAGAGAGGAGGTCAAGGTGAGTTGATATATATATAATAAAATATTTTTTGCCTATTCTTTACAGAAATACAGGACATTATTTGAATTCGGAGCAAAACTCCAATGAACGATATTTCAGGAACGTCTCGATGTTATCGGCTGAAATTCACTAGCAACTTACCTCTAATGACACTCCACAAGATGGCGTGATATGAATAAAAAATTACAGGTCCGGACTTGGAAAACTCATTTTCTCTTTAGATGTCAAAATTTTGACCTTCTGGATCGGATTTTTCAAAAACTTTTATCAGAATCAGAAAGATCAGGAAAAATACTACAAGTATATCATTTCAATTCGTACGGCACACTTCGATCGTTTTGATAAAAAAATATCAAACAAAATACCGATGAATTTTTCTTCGATTTCGTCCGGGCATATCACTCTCTACATTCGACTAAAAGTAATTAAATCAAATTTTTCCCTGGAAAGATTCAACAGCACACTTGAGAAAAGGTATAATTCAATAAAAAATTCAGGACCGGACTTGATTTTGGAAAATAACAATCATAATTTCCGAAAAAAAAATTGTCAGAATCTTAATATTAATCAAGATTCTCAAAATGTCCTATTCCAATTTCTAAACATTTTCTCCATCTCTTCGGTAGACCTCTTATGGCTATTCCAATAATTTGCCTATTATTTCTGATTACATCTGCAGCTGTAACTATCCTCTCCCTCAGTTCGTCTCTGGTGTTGACTTCAGTCTGATAGACCAATTGTTTCATATGCCCCCAAAGAAAATAGTCCAAAACTGTGAGATCAGGGGACCTAGGAGGCCAAGAATGAGGGCCGCCACGACCTATCCAGCGGTTAGGAAAATGGGTGTCCAGGTATTCTCTCACTTGTACTGAGAAATGTGGAGGTGCCCCATCCTGTTGAAAGTAAAGACCTCTTTCATTCACATTTTGCGCCGCCAACAAATTGGGCAGAACGTTCTGAAGAAAATTCAGATATAAGTCCCCTGTCAGTCGTGCCTCGAAAAAATAAGGCCCTATCAAAACGTCATCCACCACACCACACCATACATTTAGGGAAAACTTGTGCTGTGAATTCTTTTGAACAATGGCATGAGGATTTTCATGTGCCCATATGTGGGAATTCCTCAAATTGGTTATACCATCGCGCGTAAACTGATTCGTCCGTGAATAAAATTCTCGAAACTGTTCTCGGATGATTCAAAATCTTGGTTAATATTAAGATCCAGATAAATCTTTTTCGGAAATTATAATTGTTATTATCCAAAATCAAGTCCGGTCCTGGATTTTTTATTGAATTAAACCTTTTCTCAAGTCTGCTGTTGAATCATTCCAGGAAAAAATTTGATTTAATTACTTTCAGTCGAATTTAGAAAATGATATGGCCGGACGCAATCGAAGAAAAATCATCGGTATTTTGTTTGAAATTTTTTTACCAAAACGATCGAAGTGTGCCGTACGAATTGAGAAGCCATACTTGTAGTATTTTTCCTGATCTTTCTGATTCTGATGAAAGTTTCTGAAAAATCCGATCCAGAAGGTCAAAATTTTGACATTTAAAAAGAAAATGAGTTTTCCAAGTCCGGATCTGGAATTTTTTATTCATAGTACGTCATCTTGTGGAGTGTCAGTAGAGGTAAGTTGCTAGTGAATTTCAGCCGATAACATCGAGACGTTCCTGAAATATCGTTCATTGAAGTTTTGCCCCGAATTCAAATAATGCCCTGTATTTCTGTAAAGATTAGGCAAAAAATATTTGTTCACATATATATCAACTCACCTTGACCTCCGCTATCCGCCATTAGGCTATGGCTGGTTAGTCATGACTCACTCTGTATATAGTTATTTATGGAAAGAAGTAGTAGATTTTAGCTCCAGGTTCTGTTGTCTACCGACGCTGCCGACGCCTAGCGGAGGGAGACAAAAAACCGTGAGCTTAGAGCTCTATACTGTGACTATAGCACAACAAAAGCCATCACTTTTTTCCCACGGGAAAAGTAATTTATGAAAAGTGACATTTTATAATCTGCCAACAGAGATGAAATGCCAAACATTTTTCCCGTCACAGAAAAAATGATTATTAATGAACTATTAATCTCTCGTAATTTTTTTCCCAAGGGAATAATGAACATTTGGCATTATACTGCAAAAACCACAAGTATACTTTTACATACATGAGATCTGAAAAACACCAAAAAAATTCAAGGGGTGATTATGTGATGAAAATGAAGGTGGATATCCGGTATAAAACTTTTTTATAACCCTCCCCCCGGGAAAGTTACACCCCTCCGAAGATCAAGAAAAACAAGGTTTTCCTTATTTATTTTCCCTGTATATTGAGCTGAAGACACGAAATTTGGTGGATATCATTTCTCAATGAGGATTACACATTTTGAAATCTTTTTCACCCTGAAGTATGCTTAGAAGAGGATGAGATATTCCACCCCTAAATTATTTTTTCTCACAACTCTTCTTTCAATGCAACTTCTCCTTTTGTAAAAACGTATCTGAAAAACCAAATATATTTAGTAACTTATATATATCCCAATATTTTTTCGAATACTTTGAGCATTTGCCATGTTTTTTCAGATGGAACTTTTTGGTCCAGAAAAAGTTGTATGACAAAATATCTTTGGCATCGAACATTTTTACTCCTTCCAAGAATACGTCAGTATTGAAAACTACAAAATGTGTGGTTTTATTGATGAATGATATGTTACGTGTCTTAGATAGGTTAGATAGATAGATTCGTTCATATTGTTTGGAAAAATACATTTTCATCACAAGGGTTCGAATTATATACGATTATAATGATTCAGTAACAGTTACTGATCTCAGTGAAATGAATAAGGTGGATAGAAAAAGAAAATGAAGCAAGAATCATTGTTTCATAGTTATAGAAATTTACATGCCTACATGTATAAGTTCTATACCTACCTAAACGCCTAATACCGTTACCACCGATACAACAAGGCCTGAATGCTCCGTGGGTGACGTCACTTAGTGAGGACTAACCAGCGGCTCGAAACGACAAGCGCTTATAAGGCGACCGCGTATTTCGATTTTAGTTTAAGATCATCATTGAGCCGATTTTGCTGTTTTTTGAAGGGCTTTCGGTTAAAAAATGACCGTTTTCAGAAAGAAATTTGAGAATGAGAATTGAAAATGCCCGTTTATTATGAACATTCAAGAAAATTTCCTCGAATTCAGAGATGATTTTGTTGACTATAATATACGAATACAAAACTAACTGCACAATCAAAGCTTTTCTATTTTTTCTCTACTTATACTTTTTATGAGAGAGTAATTGTCTTCTATTATTAATTCATCATTATAAATTAGGCTCTGTTTACTACTGAACTTAGATGGAGTAAAATCCTCGTGGTCAATTGCATATACCCACATTTTCGATAGCTCCTCGTCCAACGGGAAACTAAAAGCATGAACTTTTGAACCACCCACATAATTCCCCCGACGAAAGGGAACACAACACTTGGAAGGCATTGTTATTTCGCCGATCATAACACAAAATATTCCACAAAACAGTAATTTTTCCGCCAATTATTTTGATGAATAAACAACAAAAGAATTCGGGACCGTTTCAAAAACATACGTGAATCACCGATGAATTAACACTAACTGACGCGTTAGTCGACAAGCGATAAAATAAAACACTGGCCTCTCTTGATGACGTCACGAGCTGTTTACGTCAGAGTCTGCTGGCCTTGTTGTATCGGTGGTAACGCTAATACCCGAGAGAGTACCAAAAACAATCCCTCATAGCTTAAAATTCATTCATTTATTATGAATGCTCGTAACTTCATAATATTCATCAAATACTGCACAAGCTTCGTTAGGTATACAATATTATGGGTGTTGAGTAGAAGTACTAGAATCTAGATCTAGTAACTAGATCATCAATATACTTCTGAATTCTGACAAAATGGCGTTTTGCGTTATGCCTTAATAGATAGGGCATTCAAACAGAATATGATGCAGGGATACAGTTACTTCTAGATTGCAAATTGAACAAACTTCTGTAGGATCAATAATGTAAACGGAATCGATCATGAAATGAGAACATCAAAGACTTTTTGCTGCAAGTCCTGATTTGGGCAGTAATACGCGTTATGTAAATTGGCGAAGTAACACTTAGGTAGGATTCTAATAGTTCGTAGACTGATAGGCCATTATTGTATATGAGCGGAAAGGAAGAATTCACAAGTATTTCTAAGTCGAGAGATAATAGCTTCCGCTTGAATTTAGTCAGAATGTCATCCATTAGATTTTCGAATTGATAATTCAGAAAAGTTTTACCATAGGCTTTCACCATCTGCAAATGAGTTACGTGTCTTTATCTTGATATACAGGGGAAATGAAAAAGAAGATACATTTTTTTATTTTCAGAAGGGTGTAACTTTTCCGGGGAGAGGTTTGTCACAAAATTGTATTCATACCAAACACCCATCTTAATTTTCATCACAGAATCAACTCTTCAATGTTCCCGGTGTTCAGATACACCCTGTATAATACTCAAACAATTAGTTGTGAATGAAATGAACTACTCCATATTATAGACAACTACTGATAATATTATTCCTCGAGAATAAAGACTATCATTAAATTACGAATGAAATGTTTACTTACTCTGACATTCTACTAGAGAAATCTCCAGTTTGGTTCATGTCATACCAACTGATGTCCTGATCAAGGATTTTACTCAGATATATCGATCTCACTTTAAAAACCTGGAATTAGAGAATTTTCATTACCAAATTAAACCAAAATATTGTCTTGTATTTCCATCCGAGCAAATCCAAATAAACGTAGATATACGTGCTTTCAAATTTTGAAAACAATTCTCGTTATGGACACTGACTAGTAACTGTCATTGGATCGTCCTTAGTCATAACAAAATGAATTGAATAGCAATAATAAGACAGCTAGGCTGTCCCCTATTTAATTTAAATCTTTTATGAATGTTATTCAAGTTTTAATAACCGTTATTCGATTTTTTTCTCAAAGAATTGTATTTCTCATTTCAACAAGTTAGGATGCAAATGGTAATTTTGTATAGTATTTGTACAGGGAGATCCGTCAATCCGTCAAAAAAGCCCACCTATAAGAATAATAGTATGCAAAAGTTGAATGCCGCAGTATGGCCACAGGTATGGCCCTTCCACAGCCAATCGGGTCGATTCTGTTCGGATCTTGTTTTATTTTTTTATTTTATTTTTATTTTATTTTATTCATACACCATCCAACAGCCGGAGCCAATTACAGGATGGGAAAGATAAGCAATTAATTACAAATTACAATTTAGATACAAACTAGATTAATACTAACTATACATAAGTTGCATACTAAGGTGAATGGAGATGGGCATATCTGCATATGAGCTGAAAAAAAAAACTATGAAGAGAGAAAAAAAAAGCTCACATGCAGATATGCACACTACCAAATAATACTACAACAATGCTCGTTTCAAACTAGCAATATTAGAACAGAGAATATCAAATGAATCTTGAGAAGACATATAATCTGAACATATTCTATAAATAGGTGAAAACTGCAGTAGATTAGATTGAGGTGTGCGCAAGTAGAAGAAATATTTATCTCTTACTGGCAATCGAGGAACATGTATATCAATGAGAGACAGTAAATGGGGACAATCAAGTTTGTTATTGAGCAATTTATATAGAAATAAGACTCCACTATAAGCACGGCGAGTAGCCAATAGTGCAGTTTCAAATCTACCTGTTAATGTCAATTGGGGCAATCCTCTATCTGGATATACCCCATCTACTCTAAACCAGAGGTGTTTCATGAATTTCCGCTGAATGTTTTCAATATTATTAGAATGAACATCATATCCAGGACTCCAGACCACCGAGGCATACTCCAGTTTTGACCTCACAAAAGCATTGAAAATTAACTTCAGTGACTCAGTTTGCTGCATGAACTTTGAGTTTCTTAAAATAAATCCCAGTGTTTTGTAAGCTTTTGCGATCATTCCAGTTATATGATCAACGAATGTTAGTTTAACATCAAAGACCACACCCAAGTCCTTGAACTGATAACATCTATCTAGCAACTCATTGTCGATACTATAGGTATACTCAATGATATGCTTCCTCCGCGTAAAAGACATATATTTACACTTTTTTATGTTGAGTGGCAATAAGTTAGAATTACACCAGGTATGAAGCCTTTGAAGGTCATCTTGGAGTAACTTACAATCCTGAATGCTATTGACTGTCGCATAAATCTTACAATCGTCTGCATATAATAACACATTTGACTTGAGGGTTCTGCATATGTCATTTATGAATATTGTGAATAGCAGAGGACCAAGAATTGATCCCTGTGGAACACCAGATGAAGCTGATATCTCAATAGACTTGAATCCATGGTACTGAACATGCAGTTTCCTGTTTGAGAGATAAGACATGAAAAAATTTATTAGTTTTTTGGTGAGTCCAAAGCAGGCGAGCTTCCTCAGAAGCAAACCATGGTCAAGGCAATCAAAAGCTTTCGAAAAATCTGTATATATTACGTCCACCTGCCTCCCACTGTCCAATGAACCAGATAAAAATTGAGTAATGCATACTAAGTTGGTGACGGTAGATCGTCCTTTCATAAAACCATGCTGATTCTCAATGACTTGTGAATTTACATGTGCTGACAAAAATTCATGAATTACCATTTCGAATAACTTACTAAAATTACATAAAATCACTATTGGCCTATAATGTTCAATATTATACGTATCGCCTTTTTTAAATACAGGACATATTTTTGCAGCTTTCCATGAAGCAGGAAAAATATTTGTTCGAAGAGACAAATTGAAAATTACTGCTAACGGTTTCGCAAATATTATTGCACAATCCTTGAGTATGAAAGATGGTATACCGTCTGGGCCCATAGTCATTTTTGGTTTGAATTTTTTTAACGCTCTGAGAACAAGATCTTCTGATATAAAAGGAGTAGCTAAACTGGGTGTGTTATCGAATCCTTCCTCAGGTTCATAAACTGTTGAGGTTATAAAAGATGATTGAAAAAAGGTCGCAAAGGCATTCAAAATTTCCAAGGGTTCATTGAATTCATCATCATTGAGGATCATTGAACTTGGTAAACTGGACTTATTTTTCATAATATTCATGTAGGACCAAAATGATTTTGGATTGTTTTGCAACTCATGTTCAGCAGTTCTAACAAAATTCGTATGTGATATTGATACGTCTTTCTTAATAGTACTTCTCAAGGTTTTGAAATTTTCAAGGAATTCAGGGTCTCCAGAGTTTCTGTAAAGTTTTAAAAGTTTGTTTTTCTTTTTTATATTCCTAATTATTGGACCAGTAAACCAAGGTGGATATGAGGAATTTCTAACTATTTTGGTAGGAACACTTTTCGAGAAAACACTTTCTAGCTTTGTATATAGTTGAGTGCACGCTGAATCGACATCTACTAACGCATCTAAGAATGACCAGTCAACTTCCATGAGGTCCTGATACAATTTTCCAAAGTTTGCTTTTCTGAAGTTATAAGTTGCGATACAATCTGTTTCAAATTTGGTGCTACAAGAGTCAAACTTGAAGTCAATTAGTAATGGCGGGTGATGAGTATCAATTGGAAGGAGGGGATCACTGGATTCGGAAACAACAACTGTTGACCTACTAAAAACTAAGTCAAGAATACGATTATTGCAATTTAAAATTGAATTATATTGACTCAATCCCATATAATTGCTAAAATTCACGAGATTGTCCATAAGTCCTTTTGGAATAGAGGAGACAAAGTTTGGAATATTGAAATCTCCAACAATAATCAGATTACTATCAGATTCATTGAGATATGGGAGATTACATAATGTTTCAAAGAGAATTTCATACGTGGCAGGAATTGTAGCAGGGGGGATGTAGATATTCAAAATGAAGTAGTTAGTTTTTCCCAACATTACCTTTATTCCAATCATATCAATCATTGGCACTAAGTCCGATACGGTAGTCAAGTCAATCTGAGTTGAACTAAAATGATTGCTTATTGCCAATAATACACCTCCTCCTCTTGTTTTATTCGTGAGGTCAAAATCCCTATCCTTACGAAAAATTATATAATTACCCCGAGACAACTCACTGTCGAGAATGTCAGAGTCTAGCCAGGTTTCACTCAAGGCAATCAAGTCGAACTCAGAAGCAGTGACTGCATCTGCAAGTGCATGAGTCTTGGAACGCAAACCTCGCACATTTTGATAATAAAGAGCAAACTGGTTAGATTTTGACCTCGATTTTGACATACACCTCTGTTCAGATTCCTGTGAAATCTCTGACTGCTATTTGGTTACAAATAAATCTGATTTGTATAAAGACATTTTTCTTTGGTAAATTGGACACTTTTTATCCCACACTGCATGCTGGTTATCAGTAACTTTGGCAGCCGTACAATTCACACACTTCTCATTTGCCGAATCGCAGTCTCTCAAACAATGATCAAGGGAACATTTTGGACAAATAAGCTTGTTGCTCTTACATGTCGACTGACTATGATTGAATCCACTACATTTGTAACAAATTTTGATTTCTGTTGCATCATATACAGGACATACATCATAGTTAACAAAAAGTTTACCGCGATTGAGTACCAACCCATAAGCTGAAGCATCCAATTCGACGAGAGCTTGAAAAATATTTGAATCTTTCTTGGTTCCCCAAACTCGTAATACACTAACATGACAATCGTCTGATATAACATCATTCTGGCCCTTCAAATACTTAACTAGATCTTCTTCTGTATAGTTTTCAACCAGACCAACGACTTTGATTTTTGGTAAATTTTTTCTTACTTCAGAAACCTTGTAGGAAGACGATAACTTTTCTTTGGCAATTTTCGCAAAACTTGTAGCACCTTCAGTATTATTACACCCAATAAGAATTCCACCATCTCTGACCCTTTTAACTTGAGATACTTGCACTCCATAATCCACCGGATTGATATTTTTCATAATATCGCATTTGGTCTTATCATTCGTTTGTTCAACATCGATTGGTTTAATAACAACCATGGATTTACTACCAGTTATATCAGCATATGTAGTTTTCTCCGTATTGACAATCTGAGTCTTACAAGCATGTGATAATTTTTCATCAGCTATTTTCAAAATATCAGACTTTATGTCATCGAACATGGATTCCATATCTTTCATCACTTGTGAAATCTTCAAATCGAAGGTATTTTTGATGTGTAAATCATATTTGTTCTTCATTTTGAGACATGCTGTACAGAACCAACAAAAACCCGGAATCTTAAGGCAATCCAAGGATCCAGCAGATAATCGAACACACTGCAAGTGATAAGACTTGTTGCAAAAACCCGCACAAGAAATGTACTGAGTTTTTCGCCTATCAATCGCAGAATCGCATTCGCCGCATATCTGGGACATTTTACCATACTACGTTCACAATATTTATATTAACGTAATTATTGAATATGTAGTACGTTACCGCTGTCTTCAGCTACACACAGTATCAAACATAAGATGTAAATGTCACTTATAATCACTCAAAAAATGAATATAACTCAGAGCAATACTATAGCACGTCGTCTGCTACAGCTTAGAATTGTTATAACATTGCTAAGATAATAATATTGTTATGATCCTAACATATAACAATATTGCTATGAAGTTCTGTATTCTGTTTGCAGAGTAACTGCAAGACTGGTTATAAGTTCAAGTGATAGCAATATTGTTGAAAAATTGAGAATTTTTGAGCTGACAACACTGTTTTCAACTCATTGTTTAAGTGTTAGGTATCGATTTTGCCATTATTTCATGAACAAGAAGAGTTCATGATTATCTAACCTCTCAAATTAGTCAGTCCTGCACTGACATTTTACAAAATTATATTGTTCAAATCGAGAGATTTGCTGAATCTGGTCGTCGTTGTGCGACTGGTGCAAGTAATCAATCATGTCCCCGAAATGAGAAACAACTAAAAGCCGGATGAAAATAATCGTGATTTTTTTAAATATTCTAGCAGAATAGCTTGATAAACTATCCATCAGGCAACTGAAATTATTTTTCTGGTTCTTAATATGCCGAGATTGTAGTCTTATATTTTCTTCACAAATTGGAACTTCAAGAAAATGTTTTCAAGTAGTTGGTCACAGTATAGTCATAGTGAACCTATCCTATTTGTTTGTAATCACCATTCTAAGTTTTTCAATAAGTCTTCTACGAATTGAAACTTCGAGGAAAGGTTTTCGAGTAGTCAGTGACACAACTGAACTCTCTTATGTTTTTAATCCACTATTTTCTGAATTTTCATACAGTTGGAAGAATTTGTAGTGCAAAAACGAAGAATCCACTACCTTGTTATAAGATAGTAAGCACAAAATTGATGTTGCCGAGATAGCAAGAAAGCTGACCAGATGTCATTGAAATTGACAGATCATATTGCTAAAAATCGATGATTAGAATTCCACTTTTTCGAATCTTGCTATGATAGCAATATCTTCTCTACAGCCATATTGCTATTTGCAAACAGAATCGACCCGATTATCAGGAGTTTCCCAAAGTGAATCCAGAAAGGGTGGCGAGCCACAAATCCATTTGTTAAATGGATCAATCTGTTATATTTTTTTGCAAATCTATGATTACCAAAATATATATATATATACAGTATGTTATCTTCAATTTCTCCTTCATCACTCCTATGATCTCAGACGAACAGAGTGTTCGATTTAGATTTGTGGTTTTCATAGATCACCATGGAATACTTCTGACCCAGGTCATAAAAATACCACATTCAATTTATGCATATTCTTCTTATGTAATTGTGGTGCTTGTAATTTGTCATCACGTTTCGAAGTGTGATAATTAATAAGTAAGCATATTTCTGACGCCGATAGTATTTCATATTAACAAAATAAAGATAAAATGTTTACTTGTCTCATCGCACTGTAGTTGAAAGTAACTGTTGAAAGGTAGCTCAGCACAACCATGCCGATTCCCAAGACCGAATTCATCAGGGCGAAATACTTGATTGCATCGAAAAAATCATCTTCGGCCGTTTGTCTTTCAACATCTGACATGGTGGCATTGAATTTTGAGGCAGCATAATTGATTATATCACCCGTTAGAGATCCGAATAAAATCGTGTTCATAGGCTGAAGTACTCCAGTTCCAATACCGCCCAGTAGTCCTATGGCCAATAGGAATTTATCGAATCCTGAGGCATATCTGAACTAGAAAAAACAAAAAAATTATTGATAAATTCCTACACAGCACAGCGTCCAAGCGCGTAAGGACATTGAATGGTCATCCATTGTACGAACAAACATGAAATTGTAAGTCCAGTGGAAGTCCACTACAAGAACAAACTTCCATGGACGCCAGGCGCGGTCCGAGAGAAGGGATCACAAGGGTCATGACAACTCCGAAATTCTGACAAAATTTTACGGTTCATAGATATTTTGAATGAACTAGCAACTCATTTATCAACTTCTGGGTGTATGATAAATTGACATTCATCATACAGGGCGTGGAAAAAAAATCTGGATTGAGACTCTATCACGAATCTGTACTGAGAAAGCCACATTGAAATAAAATATATGATTTCAACTTCGCAACTCAGAATTAGTATAATTACTATAATTTCGAGTTCACAACATAGAAATAGTATAATTCTGAGTTTACGATACAGAATTAGTATAATTTCGACTTCACAACTCAAAATCAGCATGACTGTGAGTTAACAAAACTCCGAATTAGTATACTTCTGAATTCCTAATTCAGAATTAGTCTAATTCCGAATTAACAACTCAGAACAATCAGTATAATTCCACCTTCGCAACTCATAATTAGTATAAATTATACTTTGCAACTCAGACTTAGTATGATTTCGACTTCGCAACTCAGAATTAGTATATAATTTCGACTTCACATGTCAGAATGAGTATGATTCCGAGTTTACAACTCAGAATTATAAATAATTTCGATAATCTGAAGAAAGGATAAGAAGCATAACAGTCACCAAATGATTGTTTGGAGATGATAAAGGTTGAAGTGCAGTTGATTTTGAAAATGTCAATCAACTTTTCAATGATTTGTTATACAGGGTGTTTCACAGATAAAGGGAAATATTTCAATGGTACATAGGGGTCACCAAGGTGGTTCTGAAAATACCATATTTGATAAGTCTTAGAGTCTTCATAACGGAGATACAGGGCGATTTATCGATTTGGAATAATTATTCATTCGTCTATAAGTATTGAACTACCCAGTATATTTCTCTGAAATTTGGAATGGAGCTCATATTTGGGACGTTGAATTCATTCACCTATCGGGCGAAGTGAAAATCCAGGTTCGGCTTCAGGAAAAATTTTCATTTATTCGAAATATTGAAATAACACACTGTATGTAATAATTGACAGAGTTCATCAAAGGAATCGTGAAGAGGAGAAAAAACTGAACTGGATTTGATGCTTTTTGTTTTCCCGCCACCAATTCTCATCGTAACAATCATAAACATAAAGCTAAAACTATATGTCAATTCGAAGAGTATCAGAATTATGATTGATATAAATTGTGTATAATGAGGTTATAAGTTGATGGTTGAAATTATTAAGAAAAACTTTATTTTCTTCTTTTTAGAGCGTTTGAATAAAAGCTTTTTATTGAAAAGTTTTTTTTTACTTTTTTCTATTTTTCAATTTATACTTATCGCTAGCTGGATTTTTCGATTTACTGTCAACGAGCCTTTTCATTTGATACCCATATTGTAGAAGTATATTGAAAATGACCATTCCGTCATCTTGGATAGTCCGCCATAATGGATTTAAAATGACGTCACATCAGTTTTCGAGTTTCTCTCAACGAGCCTTTTCATTTGATACCCATATTGTAGAAGTAGATTAAAAATGAACATTCCGTCATCTTGGATGGTCCGCCATAATGGATTTAGAATTACGTCACATCATTTTTCGAGTTACTCTCAACGAGCCTTTTGATTTGATACCCATATTGTAGAAGTAGATCAAAAATGACCGTCCCGCCATCTTGGATGTTCCGCCATATTCGATTTAGAATGACGTCACATCATTTTTTGAGTTACTCTCAATGAGCCTTCTCATTTGATACCCATATTGTAAAAGTATATCAAAAATAGCTATTCCGCCATCTTGGATAGGCATATTAGATTTAGAATAACGTGACACACCTTATCGTGCATTGTCATCCAAACTGAACGTGTATACAAAGTTTCAGCTCAATCGGTTGAAGATTTCTACTTCAAAATTGAGTTCAAAGATTCCACCCGAACATACATACATACATACATCCATACAAACATATAAAAGCTTTTGATAAAATAAAGAAAGCGTGAGGAGTGTTGTAAAAATTGATTGAGGTTCCTAACGACACAGTGGACGGGAGCATGTCGTTACATCCACATTTCATAACTCCCACATCGCGTTGTTCCCACATTTCGATATGCCCACATTTCGTAAGTCCCACATTTCGATACACCCACAGTCTCCGAACCTACCCGAAGAAGGCCCTGTTGCCAAATATTATCTTATATACCAGAATTCAATGAAACGGCCATTGTGGTCATATCGACACATTGCGTTACACCTACATTTCGTAACACCCACTTTGCTTTATGCCCACATTTCGTTATGCCTACATTGCGTTAATCCTACATTTCGATATGCCCACATTTCGTAAGTTCCACATTTCGATATTCCCACAGTCTCCGAACATACCCGAAGGATGCACTGTTGCCATATACTGTGTTTAATGCGTAATTTTCCGAAAAAATACCTCTGAGGAAAAAGGTTGATTCAGGCTGAGTTGGGTTGGATTGTTTTAGAAGAAGTAGTATTCCTTGTTCCTTCGAGCAATTCATCGAAGAATATACTCTTTAGGAAGGACTATTTAGTCCGAGTTGGGTTAGATTGTTTTGAAAAAGTATAGTCTTTTTTGCTCTCTCAAGTAATATTCAGAAAAATATTTCCTAGGAAGGAGGTTCATTTAGGCCGAGCAAGGTTAGAATGTTCAAAAAAAGTATTCTCCTTTCTTATGCAGAAAGGATATTTCCCTTCCTCATATTATTACGTATTCGGAATTCAGGAAGCCATAGAGGAAATGCTATAGCTAGACGCGTGTACTAGACATTGTGGGCCTAGCGCACATTGTGTTTGGCAACAGTGCATCTTTCGGGTATGTTGTGGGAATATCGAAATGTGGGACTTACGAAATGTGGGCATATCGGAATGTAGGAGTAACGTAATGCAGGCGTAACGAAATGTGGGCATTAAGCAATGTGGGTGTAACGAAATGTAGGTGTAACGCAATGTAGGCGTAACGAAATGTGGGCATAAAGCAATGTGGGTGTTACGAAATGTAGGTGTAACGCAATGTGTCGATATGCCCACAATGGCCGTTTCATTGAATTCTGGTAAATATGATAGTATTTGGCAATAGGGCATCCTTTGGGTATGTTTGGAGACTGTGGGTGTATCGAAATGTGGGACTTACGAAATGTGGGAACAACGCGATGTGGGAGTTACGAAATGTGAACTGGATGCCAATAATTCATTATCAGGACACTCGCCCATTGACACTTACTGAAATACAACTGACTATTCTGAAATGAAATTGACGCTTTCTGAAGTACAACTATAGAAAATGTGTAGAAAATGAGTAGGCACAACACGAACTCATATTGAAAGTAGGCTAAAGAAATAAGTAGCAGATACTGTCTGTAGGTTAATCGAGGAGGTGGTACATTCATCATTCCAAATTTCTTGTGATTTTCTCTCCTCGTTTCTAGAAAATAAAAATATGAATATTATTTAAATATACGTGTATTAAGGACAAATCAGATGATATGCCACAAAATGTCACTGCGTTTAAAGAATTTTCCTATCAGAGAGCCTAAAAGAAAAATTTATTAGCTTGTCAGTGAGAATTTGTATTGAAAAAAGTTTGTAGAAGAGAAATAAAGGTATAAGTATAGAAAAAATATCAAATTTTCACTTATCTTTGGACGTTTCGGGACCGAATCTGCTCCCGTTTTCAACGTCACCAATTGTCACAGAACTGAAAAGTTTCAAGACAGAACCGACATTGCTATTGAAATAACCATTTTTCATGTTGAGAACGGGAGCAGATTCGGTCCCGAAACGTCCAAAGGTAAGCGAAAATTTGATATTTTTTCGACAGGGTGTTTAAAAAAAACTAACCTCCTTGCTAGGGTAGGTAGAACATTGCAAAATGAGTAGGGTTTGCTCAGTAAAAAAATGTAACACCATCCGTTTTCAAGATACAAGGTGTTGAAACAATATATTTTACACATTTTTTACGATTATGTTGAAACTACTGGCACCATTGTGATGAAATTTTGTATGGATGTTTCTTGTAATCTGACACATTGCATGCATTTGTTTTTATATCTGACTCTCATAGAGGGCGCTACTTACACGGTTCGTACCGAGTAGTTTTGAACATAACTTTTTTGAGGTTAGATTTTTCAATCCAAATTTGATGTGAACTTGGACATCATTCAATTTCACACCAAAAAGAAACTCTTGGTAAAACTCGATACTGTGTTCCGTTTTCGGAATATTTCGATTTGAAAATGATGAAGTGGTAACTTTTGCTGGTATAAAGCTATGTATTAGAGTGAGTACTATGAAAAATTATCACCTATTTGTTGAAAACCGAGAACAACAATACATTTCTGATGCAAAACTCATTGATTCAACAATAAATCACAAGAATAACATCGAAACAGATTTGACTAAGAACATGGATTACACAGTTTTATTGTATCTTGAGCAGGAAGTCTATGCTACATAGGTAAATTCACGTGAAGAGTTGTGAGACATAATTGAACATCACTTAAATGACCTAACAGCTGATTCTCAACTGTTCAGAAGTATAATACATTCTTAAAAAAAGAATATAGATCCGTGTATTCCTCTAAACGTAGGTCATTTTGAACACTTACTCTAACTGATTCAATATTTCATGTTTCTAGTCAAATATCTCTTAATTTACTACTTATGATTCTTTGTTCTCCATTATTTTCAAATTTAAATATTCCGAAAACGAAACATAGTATCGAGTTTCATCAGAAGTACCTTTTTGGTGTAAAATTGAATGATGTTCAAGTTCATATCATATTTGGATTGAAAAATCTAACCTCAAAAAAGTTATGTTCAAAACTACAAAATTTCATTACAATGTTGCCAGTAGTTTCGGAATAATTTTTTCAACACCTTGTATCATGAAAACGGATGCCGTCACGACATTTTTTCACTGACTCATTTCGCAATGTTCTATACCTACTCTAGCAAGGGGGTTAGGTTTTTTTGAAACACCCTGTATATATCTTTATTTCTTTTCTCCGAACTTTTTTCAATACAAATTGTCACTGACTAGCTAGTGAATTTTTCTCTTAGGCTCTCTGATAGGAAAAATCTTTGAACGCAGTGACACTTTGGGGCCAATCATCTGATTTGTCCTTGCTACACGTATATTTAAATGATAATCATATTTTCTTTTTATAGAAACAAAGAGAGAGAAAATCCCAAAAAAAATGGAATAATGGAAGCATGATACGTTAGTTTCATGTGATAATTCAGCCTGAAATGATATTGTCAACGTTGACATTATCCATTTATGGACACTCACCATTTGATAAAACGATATTTGCTTGGTTGTATCTTCCTTTTTCTCTTCATTTTTGGTGAATTCACTAAAAAAATAAGTACCTATTAAATCAGCTGAAGTGATTCCAGATTATTGTCGTATTGTCGATAAGAAATAGATATTGATATAATGATCTAGTGATCAGAACAATATCCAATGAAGTTCAATAAGCTTTCAGAGATATTTTCAATGACCAAAAAACATAAGTGCTCTCATAACCTCAAAAAATATTTCTCATTATCAATTGTTCAGATTGAATTTTCATTTCCAATGATTGGTGATAATGATATTCTGATTTTTTTATGCATTATTTCATTCAAAATTGCCAATGGAGAAGGATAATAAATAGAGGATATAGGAGAATATAATACTTACACATCTAGTGGACTTTTCTTTTTTTGATCCATTGAATATTGCGCATGTTTTCCCATGATTTCCTGGAAGAGAATGAAATATATGATGATATTTTGCTGAATCTCAGATTGAATGATCTAATCTGACCGATGAGAGTACAAATTCACTGATGTCTATACCATGATTAATAGCAAACGATTGACGAAAATTAATTGTTATCTGAAACATATTTTAGTCACCAGATTGTATCTATAGAGAAATCGTGTATATCTGGGAGATTATATTTGGTTATAATTCATTTTATCAGAGTGTTTTTATATCAAGTGCGGGTATTCAAAAAATAGTTCATTACAGAAAAATTAGCATTGAATTATGTCGAGTATCTATGATGAAGGACTATCTGATTGTAAAAATTCGCATTTTCAGTCATAATGAAATGAGAATAATCAAAGTATACTGCTTGACAAATGGAGTTGTCCACCTTGATAATTACCATGTCATCAAAAGATCAAAAATTAAATCAGGAATGATACAAAATTATTATACGTCAATATAGAGTGGGTATTCAAAGTTCGAATAACAATAAGCATTACGATTCTACGGTATCGCGCATCACCCTGTGGATCGATATTCGCACAAAATCAATGAAATTGTAGTGGTGACTTCCTTCCTGTATCGATTCCATGAATAAACTCTTTCATTTCGTGAACAGATCAGCTGAAATTGAGAAAATTCCTATATAAAAACGTCAACTTTCCATAAAACAAATGTTCCGCGTAAATGAAGTTTGCTAGCAAGAAAATCTCGAAAAAGTTCCAATGAATCAGATGAAAAAATCCCTAGAAAATATTCCATATGATTGGAATGAATTCTAAAAATGATGGGTTTATGTTTCTCCCTGTAGATCTCAAAACGAAAACGTTATGGCAGAGAACGATTATTACACAACATGGAATAATCCGTTCCAGAATCGGACTAGTATTTTTCATATTTGATTTTAAAATTTGGTGAAGTATTCAGATGGATCACTTCATACTTCATTTGTCAAGCAGTTGAAGCCAAATTGAAATTGGTATCAATTACTATTCATATTATCAGTTCGAACAGTTTGGTGTGTATTTATTGAATAAAAATGACTTCTCTCAAGAATTTGAATTTGAATTTGAGTGTTGAAGTTGAAACATAAAATCGTTTTTTCGTTATAAATTCATCTTCAAAAACCACAAATTTTCATGAGGAAGTCACAATTTCACTCTGTGAAGCGCGACATGGAGATATCGAGATATTTTTTCATTGTTTTTATTGTTTTTATAATTAAACACTGAAGTGAGCATATACAGTTTTAAATTTTCAGAATTACTTGTATACCTAATAGGAATACATAGGAAAACAGTGGTACCTTCTGAATAGATCCATTTTTGGCAAAACTATCTATTCATGAGGAATCTCCTGAAACACGTCGATTTTCATTCCCAGTTTGACACATTTGTGAAAAAACAAATAAACAGGATGATTCTCCAAATGAAGCATTCTAATTTTATCAGATTGATATTGGAATTTCATTCAGAGTTCAAACACCGTATAAAGACAAGCTGAGATACTTCTGCATGGGTAACTAGATTCTAACCACAACAGATTACCTGAGCAAGAATAAACTTCCACACAATGTTCATAAAATGAACAACAATGGTTAATTTCGGGAGAAAAACAACTACTTTCCTGGCTAATGCCACGCAGAACATTGATTTACATCCTCCCGAATTATATGCATCAACTCGTATAAATGAATACTGATACAAGTGAATCTTTCCTGAATGCCAATTGATTTCGATTTAGCCTGGCCACGGTAGACAACCACAGACCGGTTTCGAGCTCTTTGACTCTCATCAGTGCAGGGCATTCTCCAGCCAGCAGTCCTAAGACCGCCGAATTAACATAGCCTAGCCAAACAATAATCAAGTCGGCAAGTCCGTAGTAGAAATTACGCCAGTCGGGCAACCAGCCACTCCCGTATGGAAATTTCAGTTTTGGAGTGATTCTTTCTTTCGTTTCTACTCAGATGGCGTTGCTTTCATATTGTCTATGAAGGACGCTTCAGGAGGAATGCAAGTTCTGTAGAAAGGAGGAGGAAACATCTATACAAATACTCACGGAATGTGTCCTCAAGGCCAAGAAACCTAGTTGCACAGATTATATGGAGAAAATGATAAGAATGTTTTCGGAGTGCAGAAAAAAGCTTGGCTTTATCTCTACCGAGTCCAACGACATATCACAAACATTCTCAAGTACCTGAAGGAACAAGAAGCATTTAAGGATGCCGATATCATCGTTAAGGAATCCCAATGAGTGAAAATCAGAACAAATGTGTGGTATTGACTTTGAATCGAAATATGAAATCTATAAGCCATTTATTTGGCCAAAGTCTGTAGCATATAAATGATTCGACTTCCGGAAATATCAGTATGATCAGCGGCCTGAGAATTTTTGGATAATTTTCACACTAGTCATTACGGGTATGCATCAAGTAAATTTGTAAAAATTTCAATCATCCACCAAAACAAAAGTATAAATAACTTGGTGGACCAATTACGTGCGTTTGTAGAAGATATCTCAAAACTGAAAGTATTTGCATCTCAGAACATTGGCAGTGTACGGAACAAATAAAAATGTTAAAAATTCTAATTCTAAATTTAAGTCTAATTTCTAGTTTTTGTAGAGAATCCAATGCACATGGAGGTGTGGTAATTTACTGTGCATGAAGATAGCTTTACAGCAAATCCAATATAAGCTGGTTTGATAATTTGATTGTTGTCAATATCTTTGAATACTGTGCTATAAAAGTTACTGTAAGTAGAGTCAAATTCATTATTGTCTGTATATTGTCGAATCTTTAAATATTAAATTAACCATAAATGAAATTACTCGTGAAAACAATAAAGGAAATAACAGTGGAAGCTGTTTGGACAATATAATTGTCGATTCAGCTCAAACATATTCTGTTAAAATGTGTAATCCTATTTGTCGGATCACCACTGCCAAATTTTATCATTTAACATTACATCTAACTGTTCTAAAACTATATTTAAAACTCGCATCTTTTCAGATGAAGCAATTAACGATTTTTGCACTGATATAGGTAATGAGGGTTGGTCCAATGTTTATTCATTCATAAATACTTTCCTACTATAATTTAACAAACATTTTTTGCTCAAAAAAGCAAATAGTGGTAATGGGAAATTCCCTTACAAATCTCCTGATATTATATTAGCAAAAAACAGAATGATTCATTTACAGGATTCATCTGATGAATTAACAGAATATGAGGATGATTTCAAAGCTGCTCAAAAACATTATAGTCAATTGTTGAACGATGCAAAATATAAATATTTCGAAGAAAATCTGTCTAATTCTAAAAATGTGATGAAAACCTCCTGGCGAATCATTTCTGAACTCAATGAGTATAAAAAGACAAATGAAGTACAGCCCTGCTTTGGTGATTATTCAGTGGGTGCTGAGATATTTTATTTCTTCAATGAAAAGGCTTCTAAAATAATTTTGCAAAAGTTACAATCGAAGAACCATTATAGTTGTGAAATTCCTTATAATAATACTAGTTTTCGTTTTCCAGAGATTACTTCAGGAAAATTAATGGAAATTTGCAATAAAATAGATGGTAAAAAAAGTTCAGGGCATGACGATGTGCCTATGTACTTAATCAAAAAGAGTTCAGCTCACTTTTGTGAACCGCTTACCTATGTCATGAATTTTTCGTTATGTTCAGGGCAATGTCCAACAAATACTAAATTCGCAGTAGTTAAACCTTGCTCAAATCAGCCGACCCTGGAATGATGGATAATTACAGACCAATTAGCATACTTAGCGCATTTCAAATTTTTTTCGAAATAGTTGCTAATGAACAAACTTTTGCTTTCTTCCAACTGAATAATCTTCTCTATTCAAATCAGCATGGTTTCTCTAGGGGAGGGAGCACTGAAACTGCTCTTTTTGAGTTAATAAATAATATCAACAAAGGCTTGGACGCTGGAAACGTGTCCTGCAGGATTTCCCTTGATTTGTCCAGGGCTTTCGACTGTATGAACTTTGATATACTATTCAATAAATTATTACACTATGGAATCAGGGATACACAAATAAATTGGTATATGAGTCACATGACCGGACGCACACACACTTTGAAGCTGAAGAATCAAAATACAAATGAATCTATACGGTCCTCGACGCTGAAGGTGTCCAGGGGGGTGCCGCAGGGCAGCGTATTAGGACCACTCATATTTATCATCTATATCAACAATCATTTACTATGCAGATGATACTACATTGTTTCTTACCGCTCCAAATTTCCCCCAACTAACGCTTAATGGTAATTCACTCATGATTAACATAGAACATTGGTTCTTGAATTCAAAATTAATAATGAATCCTGATAAAACTAAAGCAGTATTTTTCAAAACAATACGTGGGTCTGAAATTCCAGACAATATCATTCGTAATCAACATAAAATACAATTTTTCACAGAAATCAAATGTTTGGGTGTGTTCCTTGATGAAACTTTGAGTTTCTCCCCTCACATCAATTTCCTCTGTAAGGAACTTGACCGGTCTTGTTTTGGCCTCAGAATACTGTCGACACAAAAATATCAACATTGTTAAAGCCTCTTACTATGCAAGCTTCTATTCAAGGGCCTTGAATATTTTTACAATTCAAAAGCGAGCTATTCGCATAATCAAAAAGTTGAGTTATCTCACTTCTTGTGAAACTCACTTCAGCTCCTTAAATTTACTTACCCTTTCAGCTTTGTACATTTATGAGTATATTGAATTTGTGTTCAAAAATAGGTCATATTTTCTACAATTCAACATAACTCATAACTATAGTACTAGTACTCAAATTACAATATTCCATATCATAGGTTAGGCTGTTTTGAGAAAGGGGCTCTATACTCCCGTGTAAAATTCTTTAATTGTTTACCCACACATATGAAACTGAAAGAAAATTTCCAACTAGTGAAGATGCCCATACTTAACTTTTTATGTAATCTGGGACCCTATTCTATAAATGATT